TGTTATCATTGGAGTTCAAACATTTGTCACTTAAAAGAACAAAGAGCGTTATAACCAACTAGACTACGTTATATTTACTATTATTTCTTTGAGTAAATTCTAGGAATATGTTTGGTGATGATGCTTTTATATTTATATTTTGTCTTAAGTTATTTATATTTTATAGAAAAAGATTGATTCTGAAATCGAAACTCAAGTAACATTGATTTGATTCAAACATTAATATTAAATTATATGTGTAGTTTAGTTTAGACAAAATACAGAAGTGTAACCAAAACATGAACCTTTGTGAGGAGTAGAGTCATTTTTTGGTGACAAATGTACACATAATATAATGATAAAATTGGAAAATGAGAGTCTCATTTCAAATTTTGTGACTTGAGAGTGATTCTATGAACTTCTTTTTCATCATAGCGCCCAATTGATCTTTCTATTTATGTGTTGATTTGTCACGAAAACTTACTATATTTGTCACAAAGATCCATGTTTAGGCTACATACATGCATTTTGTCTAAACTGAACTACACATACAATTTAATGTTTAATGTTTGAATCAATGTTACTTGAGTTTTGATTTCACAATTCATCACTTTCTATAAGATATAATAATTTCAGGTAAAATACCTACTTGGTTGATGGAGCTTTTTCTATAAGATATATTCAATGTTTTAAGATTTTCCATTTCAAATTTCGTGAAACAAGAGTGAAAGTAGGAAGAGTGTTTTTGTCATCACAATTATTTATCTACTTCCTATAAAAAAGTATCAATATCAAGATTTGAACCATGGTATCTTCAAATAAAAACAATAATCACAATCAATTACACTAAACAAATTTGTTTTATCTTCTTAAATTGTAAACATACACTAAGCGAAGATTTGAAATGCAGAGGAATTTTCCATCAGGGTTAGCTAGCCTATTAAATCTTCTGAAAAGCAAAGTTTAATATATCATTTATAATTTTTTATAACCTATAAAATGACGGGTAATCTTAAAATTGCAACACAAATTTCAATGCTTTAAATATTGCATACCGAATTGCAGTATTCAATATGAAAAAGCGATGTAGAAATATTTAAATTAATATAAATTTTCAGTAATATTTTGAAGCAATAATATTTTGTCCAAACTATAGGTGACTGGTTCTATAAATTTTAGTCGGGTTAACTGCTAAACGTTAAACCTCTTGCTAATATGGCATGAATGGATTCGACAATAATAAGACGATATTGGGTTTAAGGTGATGTTCACTTCGTCATTTTTGGTTGTGTTGATCAATTTAAGGGCATTAACATATAAATGAGTTATAATTAACCTCATTATACAATTTTTACTCTTTATAATCATTAATTTAATTTTAATATTTGTGATGTTTGAAATATTTTATCTATGATTTAGAGGTATACTTATTATTTGTGACATCAATGGTAGTTGGTTCAAATGTAGTATTTTATCAGGTACTCAAAATCGAATACTAGATGTATTTATGACTGTTATTTATCTTGGTGTTGTGAATAGGTAGAAACTTGATTATGAATACATATAACTATACCTAAGCACATGGTCAAGCTAGCATAACACAGTTAGAGCATACCATGAGGACAATATATATGGATCGACCCTGTACAAGCATTAATGCTTCATGGGCATACCAGACTAAAACTTCAAGGGCCCGCGTTTGGTAAACTCATGTTTTATGGAGAAATGCGTCATTTGATTAAAATAAAATATTATACAAATAACATATAAAATTTGAATTAATGAGTAGTTTTTTCACATCAACGTGTGACGGCTCATATTGTAAAAGGTCTATAAAACACACTAATTGTTTATTTTGAGACTAGAACCTTTTTTCAATGTATACAACTAAACACTCATAGCTGAAAAGTCTTTTTTACAACTTATAGTAATAACAAACAACGTCAACAATAACTTTAGAATCATGCAAAGTGAAGAAAAAATTGGGATTTACAAACCGTTTGGTATCAAATGAATCGAGAATTCATTTCATTTTAAATGAATTACCGTATATAATTCATTGTCAAATGAAATCTTGTGTTTGGTATGTCATATTCAAATCCTTAAAAATAAAATGAATTGCCAAGTAGAATTCATTCTCAAATGAATTACTATGTTTGGTATGTCATATATATAAGTAATTTAGTTAATAAAAGAGGATAATTATATAATATTATTACAATTAGTAAATACTTGTGGAATTCATTTGGAAATTCCATCTCTATTCTTCGGAATTGCTATAAACTAGTTCCAATTCCATAGAATTCAAAATTTAGAATTGAAAATGAATTATTTTAAATACCAAATACAAAAATGTTTCATTTCAAAATGAATTCCTCAAAATGTATGGAATTCATTTATACCAAACGGTATGTTAGTATTTCTTTGCAAATGTGTGCTTGTGTTTTGGGGGAGGGGGAGACTTTTTTGGTCTAAGAAAATTTGAGGAAGGGTTGAAACTCATATATAGTTTGTTTGAATATTGTATATTGAATTTGAGTATTGAACATTTGAAAACAATATATAATTCTTAAATTAGTATTAATTTTCAGCCCAGTTGACCAATAGTAAGGGGTCGTTTGGATGGAGCAATTGGTGAATGAGTCAATTTGACTTAAATTGACTCATTTTTAAAAATGAATCATTTGTATGAGGAATTTGACTGAAATTGTCTTGTTTGATTAGGATTTGTGATGAAACAATTGAAATGAGACATTTTGTCCATATTACATTTTTACCCTCCTTTTCACTCTTTTTCTTTTCTATCTCTTTGAGAACCACCAGCACAAAATTCCCAGATTCAATTACAGTGGCAGTGGAGTGAAATAATGCGACCAATTGAAATGAGACATTTTGGCTAACAAAGTCTACCAAAAATTCCCAGGATGACCATAAAAAAAGTTTCCCAGAATTTCTCTCCACTAATCCAGATTTGACGGTTGTGTCGAGCGGCTACGGGGAACCGCCACCCTCCCTGCCTGCCACGATACCACCTCATATGTCGCTTGCACGGACTTCGTATACTCAACCCAGGTATCCCTTTCTGTTCCCATCTATGCCCCGTCGTCCGCCATCTTTGTCAGGAAAAAGCTCCCCCTCCTAATCTACATCCACGATGGCGGGTTCTACTTCGAGTGCCCTTTCTCCCCGCTCTATCACCGACTACCTCAACGCTTCAGTCGCCGAGAAAGAAATTCATTTTCTTGGTTCGTCAAAGAGAAACATGAAATAAAAGAAGAGAAAAGGAATGGGTTGTCTCTGCACTATGCAGAGAGAGAGGAAAGAAAGAACAGAGCAAGCTTTGTCTCTTGCAAGAGAGAAGAAGAGAAGAGGAAGGAAGAGAAAGGGTTGCCATTTTTTGTGCCTGCACTCTGCAGAGAGAAAGAGAAATGAAAAAGAAAAAGAAAAGGACACAATTGGGAAAGTGGGGAGAAAAACGGATCAATTCTCAATACATCCCCCTACCCTAGGTATTTAGAATTGGTCCATAATGGAACAATTCTCATTCCCCCACTTTGAAATGTTCCGTTTTCATTTTTTGTTGCCAAATGAACCAATTTGTCTCAATTGTCTCATTTTGAGTCAATTGAACCAAATTGTCTCATCAAAAAGACTCATCCAAACGACCCATTAGACCTTTTGCTAATATCATATAGATCCAATAATCATAAGATGAGATTTAGTTTGATATGCAGATTCAAAAACCATTTTTTATGAGTAATGAATTTGTATGACAAATACATGTAAATAAGTGAAGATAAACCTGATTATGCATTTTGATTCTTTAGATAAATAAAATGGTTTAAGCGATGAACTAACTATACACTCACTAGATTGGTTTACGAGTTCTATTTTATCACTTTTAGTAATTAGTTTATTCACAAGCTATCAAACTACTTTGCTCCGTCAAGGAATAAGCGACTATCTGTTCGCCAAGTTTCAGGTGCTTTGATTCACACTATCGACTGTGAATGGAGAAGAAGCGTTTCAAACTCAAAATTGGAGAAGTAATTGGGTTGTTTATAGGTTTCTATCGATTGAAGGTGGTTAGAAGAAGAGGAAGGGAAAGGGGGAGAGTGGTGAGATACAAAGCTTAGAAAGCGTGTTGGACGAACAAACGGAAAAACAAAGAGGAAGGCTAAGAGAGAGTGAGAGGCCACACTTAAAAGAGGGGGGAGAAATGAGATAGTGTGAACTAATTGTCTTTCTGCTATGCTTAGTGGGTATTCTTGGCCCTCTTCCGTTGAGTTTTGTTTTATATTAGGAGAGACATTATATTGTTGTCTGATTTTTTCCATTTCCATTTCCATTTCCATTTCAATTTAAAATCCTAAATCAATATTATCATTTTGATGATTTTTTTCTTAATACAATTATGGTAATTTCTTAGGTTTAAGGGGTATTTGATAATGTTAATATTTTAGTGGTTTTTTATATAAAGTTTGAATTGAAAGATCGTACGTACCGACGGTTCGACAATAAAACTTCACACCATAGACTAAATCGATAGGTGATATTTAGCAATATGAAAGAGTTGAACCATTGTTAAATTATAATTTCAGTATAAAATACTTTACTACCAATTTTTTGGAGGCGATTTTACAATCCTTTGGTTCCAACAATTCTTTTACACTGGTGGAAACAAAAGTCTTAAGGCACATTTTGGACTATTTATTGCAAAAAGGCATAAGTCAGTTAGCGATAATGAGAATATGCGATCTCATTTCACTCAAAAGATACACTCGCTCATTCATCAACTTAATGAGTAACATATATTTCATGTAATATGAATTTTATAGGTTTTTATTTATTGAATTATTTCATGAAACAATTATTTGCGGCATGAAAATGACTACATTGTTGATAGACATGTCTGCGATATGAGAATAATTTGGTAAGTCCGTACCACAACACATTGTCCAACTAAATATTAGCGACAAGTTAGCATCATGTACTATATATTTCAAATCAAGCAACTTCAGATTCATTACCAACAGTGTGGTAAAAAAGAATGCTCTATATTGGGGAAAACTTAAAGGACATACCAAACTCCACGATGGACATTTTGTTTCATCATAAATGTTGATTATGCATGTATTATGAGGAGCAACTATAATATTCAATTATATGTTTTAATTAAACAATAAATGACAAGTACTTGTATTTATTTCTTTTTTCATTCAATAATTATATGTAATGCTTATATTATATATTTTTTTCTCTTTTCATGGAGGTCTAAACAGATTATGCATAGTTGGACCATAACTAAAGTAGAAAGCAATCATTTCATACATTTCAAATCATCTATTATATCCATTATTATATATCATATTTCTTGATAAAATTCTTCCGGCCAACGGGCCGAACCAGATAGTAGATATTTATAGCAAAAAAGAAGATGAGTTATAGTTCTTAATAATTTTCATAAAAAATTATGAATAATTAATGTAGTCCAATTGGTTCTGATGCTATAAGAAAAAGTCCAATGTGGGGTTCTCAATTCTCATTGTGTAAGAGCATTTCCATCGGTCCCAGAGAGTGCAATTGCATTTTGACGTGGCAGAGCTTTGCAAATTGCAATTGTATTTTCCCATTGCACCAATGTGAGTTGCTATTGCAAAAATGAAAACTTTATCATTTTTTGCTTTTTCCTGTTATGATTTCAATGCCAACGTTTGGCTTTTATTGTCATAGATTTAATTTTTACCATAGATAAAAATGGTTTTTTATAATAAAAAAATTAGACACCATATGCAATTGCATGTTAATTGCACCAATGTAGTTACAATGAAAGTAAATTGAGTTGGTTTGCAAAAATGATGTGTAAAAAAAAACCACAAATATAATTACAAATGCAATTGCACCAATGAAAATGCTAACGCAATAAAGCCGAATAAATTGTTTTGCGTTGCGTCCCAATTTAATGGGCCTATTCTGAATAGTGGCCCAGATAGTTGTATTTAAGTCTTTTAGAAGCCCAGGGATGCTCATCATTTCTGAAAATTCGTCCAGTCAAAGTTACAAGAAAAAGCAGGCCCAGTCCAAACCGCTTCCTACTGCCTGGTAGCGCGGATGCCACAATCAAACAAACCCTCCACGGCGCCAGCGACGGCGGAGGAAAGAAGAAAGAGCAGAGAAATAAAAACAAGCATCGGAGACGGAATTAGCTGCCCTTCGAAATACTAGAGTAAAAATGGCGTCTCCAGCCGCTGTAAGAGAGCTGCAGCGCGATCTCGAAAACAAAGCGAACGATCTCAGTAAAATCCAGAAAGGCAAGCTTTTGGACCGCTTACCAATCACATTTCGTGCTTATGGCCAAGGGAACAATTTATGTTGTTGAGTTGACTTGGAAAACCCTAATTCCATAGCTTTTCACTCGCGGCAGATATCGCGAAGAATCACCAAGTGAGGAAGAAGTACACTATCCAGCTCGGCGAGAATGAGCTAGTGCTTAAGGTCTGATTTCTCTTTCTCTCGTTCTCTTAGCTTGTTTCAGGCTTTCATCTGGTTCGTTTGAATTGGAGTTCGTTAAATATTGATGCTTGTGTGGAGTGCAGGAGCTGGAATTGTTGAAGGAGGACGCAAATGTTTACAAGTTGATCGGTCCGGTGCTGGTGAAGCAGGATTTGGCGGAGGCGAATGCCAATGTCCGCAAGAGGATTGAGTATATCTCTGCTGAATTGTAAGTTATTTTTTTGGGTAGATTCTCCTCTATAGCTGCTATAAGTTCTGCTGAACCCGTCCAGATTATAGGTATAGCTGCTATATGTTTGAATCTACATTTTACTGGGTTTGAAGGTAGGGTCGATATGAAATGGCAGTTGGTAATGAGAATCTGCTTTTGTTACTTATTTCCCTTTGGACGTGAAATGTTGTTCTAGTTGTATGTTCATGTTTGCTGGCTCTGAATATCAGGAAGCGGCTTGATGCAATTGTTCAGGATCTGGAGGAAAAGCAGAACAGCAAAAGAGAGGCGGTATGTGTTGCCCTCCTCCTGTCTCGATTTATTTCTTCGTACTCTGGTTTTCATCCGCGATGGGCAGACTCCTTTTATCAACATATATGCGTTTCTGTTTTGCATTTGTTGCCCATTGGTTTAAGCTGTGTGTTTTTGTTGTTCAACTTTGTGTCTTTTTAGGCTCCTATCTTTCATTTTGTCACCCCTTCCCTTATTACCTTGCAATTTGAAGTATAGAAATCGTATCCAACCACTACTTCATAGCCATTGTCGTCCACTTGTCTCATCCAGAGCTAAGATCAATTGATTCTCCTCTATAATCTAGGGCATGGAAGATGATTGGTTGAGTTCATATCCTTCGTAGACCTTGCCAGTTGTGACCCGCTCATCTTGGGCCTCAACCATCACTTGTCCTTGTTTAGGGAATTATCGACCTAAGCATTGTTTTATACTTAAGACTGGAATATTTTTTGTGGTTGGGAATAGTGTATATTGGTGTTCTTAATAAGCTAGACCCATGCTTCGGGTTGTTTCATGCCATAAATAACTTGTAGGATGTAATTTCTGGCCTGATGATGTGTTGAAGCTAGCAGTGTGACGGTAGCAGCGCTTGTTGAGTAGGTGTTTAAGGCCAGTGGATCTCGTCACGCCAAAGCAGATATACTCTTTTTGTTCTGAGAACCTATTCTGCAAACTCCAGAAAAGAGACAAACTTTTCCTTCACTTGAGACTCGAGAACATATCAAGTCTGATTGCCCCTATGCATAGAAATAACTTTTTTCAGTATGAGCTGAATAATAGTCCTTGAACAATAATACTTTCTAACTAACAGAACGCTCTGATGCAAGCCTATCTTCTATTAATTATTGCTGAAAGAATGAGCACCGGGATAGAATTCATAAGCTTAGAGAGTAGATATGGGATTTTGGTGCAGGCTATGGCTCCTCCAACTGTATCTTCCCTCTCATGTCTAAGACTACTTTGTTACCCGTTAAACATCCATAATACTAGGCCACGGCTGTTACTCTACAAGATGTTAATGAGATGGAATAATGGCACTGGAGTTTCTGAGACCCGTAAGAAACTGCTCCACTAAATTGCTGATGCATCTTGAAAGATGTTGTTTGTGTCACTTGTGTCTTGTTTGAGCCAAGTTTGGACATGAATACTGTCGGGAACGGCTGAGCTCTTAGTTGATCCAAGTTCAACAGCCATTTAGCGCGTCACTGAGGTTTCATTAGTATGTAAAGAGATTTTTAACATGAGTAACATTAGTATCTCTCGCTTTATCCTTCCATTCTCTACTTATAACCCTTCCACTGGTGCCATTTGCTTGTAGGTCTTGAAAGTACAACAAAGAATGCAAGCTCTTCAGGCCGGAAAAGCAAAAGCGTGATCCACGCACATGTTGGTTTCCCTGGGGGCTTGGCAGCTGTACCATTTGCTTACTGCAGCGGATCTGATGTACATACGTTATTGTTTCTCATCGAAAGCTGCATCATTTTTCCGATCCCTTCGAACATTGCAAGTTGTGACTGGCATCATTACTCAAGAGTGTGTATCCTTATTAGTTATCCCACATGACCCGTCTTCTTCTTCTGGTTGGTGATTGAACTTGTGTATCCACGCTTAGGATGGCAACTTTGCCCATACCCATGGGTTTCTTACTATCCAACCCAATTGGGTTGGGTACGAAATCCAAATAGATGGATATGGGTAGAGTTTGATGGGTTTGTACCCATACCCATTTACTTTGAGTTGAGTTGGGTTTATATCAAATGGATTTGGGTTTGTACCTATGCCCAAATACAAATTACAGTTTGGTACCCAAACTTAATAGACATGCATATTTAGTACCTAAATTTAATTTTTTTTGCATATAAGTCCTTAAAATATCGATGGAAAATTACATTTTGGTATCTAAATTTTTTTGTCTTACATTTTGGTACCTAAACTTTTCAAGTTTTGCAAATAGGTCCAATTTTTGCTTGTGTAGTTAAAACACCCTCAAGTAAATGGATATCCATATCCAACCCATACCCATTTAGATTATGGAAGCCCCAAACCCAAACCCAAACCCATCTATAAACCCCCAAATCCATATGCACTTCACCCATACCCAACCCATTATCAATGGGTCTACTTGGGTTTGGGTATAATTACCCATGAGTGGGTAATTTGCCATCCCTATCCACGCTGCAGTGCGGTCCCAGCATGTATGGAGTAAAAGAGACATTTGGGAGGTGATCTGTCTTGTCTGTGACTAGGAAACCTCTCCCCAGAAACGTGCTCACGAGGTAGCAGCACTAACGCTCTAGTTGCTTACTTTTAGCGATGCTGCGTTTAAGGTACACACTGTGAAAGCGAGAGGGACTATTATTAAGCTGGAGACCGAGAAGGGAATATTCCAAACATCATTGCGAAACGTGCGGCAAAAAAGGCGGTGAAATCTGGGGATTGTTGTCTGATGGATCATAGTTGGCGTGGATGAAAGCATTGCGTCTTGGACTCGCTTGGGTTAGTGAAGACAGTTGCATCGATTTGATTCATGTCGCCATGTGACCTCTGTGTTTTTGTCCTACTAGGTCTCACGAACCGCAAATGCAGCAATCGTAGAATGCACTTGTCGTAGAACACGGTACCAAAACCCAAAAATTAAGACGCACGAGTTTGAACCTTCACTTTCGTGAGATCGCACTAGATTGACTACATGCTCTGCCAGTGAATATCATATTGTCTACTGAAAGCACTAGAGCAGTAGGTGGAAACCATTATACTCTGTTCACCAACAATTCAGCTGGCACCAAGTTGTTTGCTCTTGCAAAATTTGCTGGGGATGATGGGATGCGATGGCACTAAGTTTCGAAGTTTTGAGTTGCAGCTCTTTCTGCCGCGGTAGGTATATTAGTGTACCATTGCACTTACTCTCGCTTGTTCTACTTGACGTTTACGTAGTAGAGCATTAGCATGCTAACCTAACTTTCATTCCACTCGAATGAGTCAAGTATTATGCTTGGGAACTCTCAAGTAACTTCCTTTAAATTTATGGTTTGCTATCGGGTCTTGTGTTCGATGAGTTTGGTGTTCGTAAATGGATAAGACCATTATAAAAAAAAATGACATAATAAGATTTTATGAATGAATTGTTCCCAGCAACTCGAGTTATTGAAACTGGATGATTACGACATGATACCAGTGTCTTCGATGACCGATAGGTCTTGTGTTCAAATCTCAACGATCCACACATTTGTTAAGCACACAATATTCGAACCTGTACAAATTTCAAACCAATGAATTGACTTTGGTTTGAGACATCACTCCACTCAACATCCGAACTCTAATTAACATCAGACTATGAGGGTTCAAATCGCTCTAGTTGTTTTCGGCCACCTTGATTCAGGGTCTTGGCCGCTGATATGTCTATATCAAATCACCTCTCTGTTGGCTAAGAAAACATGGTTGGGCTTGATCGACCTTCATCATCGTGCATTAGGCTTCTCGGGCAATATCTGGATCTCTATGGAGAGAGAGAGAGAGAGAGAGAGAGAGAGAGAGAGAGAGAGAGACAATTGCCACTTAGAGATGCCGTTAATTTTCTGGCCCGATAATCAGGCAGATGCAGTCGTACCACAAGACAGGGGCATAACCCGAACTTGAGCCCTACTTCCCTTTCCCTCAACTGGTGGCTGCAAAAGCTCGCGACAATCTAACATGCACATGCCTTTTTGCCTTCTTTGGTATGTGCTTTGCATTGCATGCGCGGCAGCTAAGCTAATTAGTCGGCATTTTAATTACATTACGCGAATGTTTTAGTAGTACGCTATATGCTCTGGCCTGCCGTGCTGGCAGTGGCAGAGCTAACGATATTGTGGAACTTGGAGATACGGAAGGGCCAACCAACCAACTAAACATCTCATTCTGCCCAAAAAGACACATAGTGGAACTTCTGGGAGAAACTGATTCATTCACACGCCACTTTGTACAATTATTCACTCACCAAATCCAAATGGGCCAAAGGGGATTTTTCCCATAAAGGTATTGGACTGTGTATCATGTTAGCCCATGCCATTTAAAGTATATGTATATGGTATTGTTTCGGTGCACTTATTTTTTTTGTATGCATTTAATACACTTGTTTCATAATTATCATTCCGAGCATGCGATTCGTGTCAAAACGGTATTGATCATCACTTGTGATATGATGAACAACTAGACAGACCCGCTCGCGTTGCTTCGCGTAACAATGATACAAAATAAGGACATATTATGCAAATTAGTTGGTGAAACAAATAGAAAATGGTAAAAAGGAACAAAAAGGACACTGGATGACCAAGAATGGGTGCATAATATAAAAAGATCGTGCCAAAAGGCTACACTTCGGAAAGTCCTATCCACATATAGTCTAAAATGCTAAAAGGAGGTGTTGGTAGATAACACATGACTCACAAAAGTACTATTATAAGCGACTTCAGTGCACAACTTTAGGCAAGTCTATTAGGTATCAGAAAATAAAGTCTATGAAATAAGGCATAGAAAGGTGACAATATGATTGGCGTGGATGTTACAGAGAAGGTGAATTTTCTTCCACAACAGAAAGAATCGTGAATTCCAAAGAGCCGTGTTGTAAATACCCAGGTTTCAGAAGCTGAACATCAAAGGCAAACGAGCATCCCTTGAGCCCGATAATCTGTGGAGGCAGGTCATGTTTGTTGGGAAATTGTGCAGATAATTCGGGAACGGTTGGCCCTAAAAGATATTCTGCGGTTTTGCCCAACAGAACGAAGCATGCTGAACTAGTTATATCTCCTATAGCAATTCGGAGACTATAGCTACAATTTGAAATAAAAATAGGTGTGAATTTAGTGTTGAAATTGTAGAGTAAGTCATGAGCCTGAAATGTAAGCTGACCAATTTTGTGTTTGCTGAGGCGTCAAATATCGATGTTCATCACACCAATAATTATTACCATCATAGTCCTTTGCTGTTTTAGCACAGAATGCACATCCCAGGTAATGCCATCGTCATGAAGAATGAACCGATAAGACTTGAGCTATGCAACGGTAACTTGTACACTGACCACAAAGCAAGCAACGATTTATGAGTTGGTAAACGAATTGTCATACAAGATTGTAAGAGATAGAATGTAAATTAATGTAAATCTTATGATCCTTTTTTCTCTTTACATAACAACAATCATGATAATTTGTGTATAACATGCAATGACCTGAATTACATGACTTAAACAACATACATCAAGAACTGAAGGGGTGCAAAGCTGGACTAACTGTGCAAATGTCTTTCTGCAATCAGCCTCAAATGCTGATGCTTCGTCGGGGCTAGAGAAATGTGGAGGATAGTACTGGATCGTACTTGTTTCCTCAAACAAATGACTGCAAAGAAAATTGCCAGATGATTATAGAAGGCAAGACAAAAGAACGACAAAGTGGAGTAGGCGTATGTAGAACGAATGATTTGTGCCATGTTAGACGATGGTTCGAGCACAAAGCGAGTACCTGATGTGCTAGACAAGAGAATCCTTCTTTGAGAGGAACAAAGAAAAAGAACTAATGTTATTACTACAAAAAAATGGTTAAACTATATAATCATTGCGTGTTGTATTTGTTAGTAAAACCTTTGGTAGTGCTGGTAACTTGCAAACTGCAGACCCCCAGTATAACTTTATCAGATCGACCAAGGTACGCTAGCTCTTCATCATCCAAAGATCGCGCAACTTCACCCCACAGGGTAATATGCAACAGCACATTACTGGAAAAGGCAAATTGTAGATAAAAGTCAGATGGAAAATAATGAATAACCCACAGAGAAAGGAATAGATAGCAAAACTAAAAGTGAGTTCGGAACCTTTCATCCTTAATAACCAGCTTTCGTTTTGGGATGAGACCATAAGGCATAATAGAACATGATAGTCCAGTTACAGCGACAACAACACCAACAACGTCTACAATTAAAGAAGCAAAAAGAATGTAGGTCAAAGTATGAAAGTGAAAATCCATGGCAGGACAGAACATATGAGGAAGTAAACCTGCGAGATGGCTTGATGAATGAGTAAGAGAGCGTAAGGTATTGAACCGAACAAACTCAAATGAATTGGTACAAAAGTTGGGTGATAGGATGGTAACATCGTGAAATGACGTATTCTCAGAAAGAACCATGTTGAGTTTGTGCGAGCACGCACTGTGCACTGAACTGTGTGTTTGGACGTGGAAGTTACCAACTAAATAGACACAGTTCACTTTGAGGATTAGAGCAAAATGACAAACCAATTCTGCTGGAGCGATGCCCTGAACTAAAACTCCCTGCGAGAATGTTTGGCGAAGAAAAAATGTAAAACCGAATTAGGCCGGTTAAGAAGGAAGGAGAATTAAACTGAGAAAAGATCTGTGAGCACGAAGTGTACTTGTTCATCGACCCAAAGAGTGCAATAGTCACAGATAACTAAGGGATTATTTGGGGCATATGAACCCCAAATATGTACCAGCCGCAACTTCAGAACGGTCTTCATACCATCACTGCTGTTGAGATCCAGTAGTAACTTATGCGCAGACATAAAGACACCAGAGATGAAAAAAGCGACAGAGGATTAAGGTGGAAGAAGGAATGGGGAGAATGCGAACAGAAACAGAGTAGGTCAATGAAGTAGATTTGGATATCTGAAAAGAAGAGAGCTGGAAACGTGCTCAGGAATAGGAAAACGAAAAGAAATAGGTGACAGTTAATTGATATGGAAAGAGAAGTGTGGAGGAGAAAAGTTTACAGGATGTGGGACCCTCTCGAATATGCCTGAGAACAGGAGATGTTGAAAAGAACACATATATTTTTTTCTGTTTTACTGGTTTGGAGAATTTTTATGATTGGCTGGTAGAAATAATGCACCCTTGTGTAAGAATATAGGATCATTGATGGTTTGGTTGCAATAAAGCTTTAAGCTAAAGAACTGATGCCTAATCGGATAAATCAAAGAATCAGTCATAAAAAAATCATAGGGTATGAATAGAAATAGTAAGAGCAGAGCAAGTAGATTAAAGTGATCAAAAAGTAAATGAGTTTGAGAATTATATATAAATTTGTTTGTCAGAGGACTGTCATGAAGAGTAACCCATTCTGAAAGAGAAGTGTATCGTAAAGGATAAGAAGTTTCCCTCAAGGCAGATGATTCAAATAATTATAATCTTTGACACCAGAAGAACATAAACATAAGCAAGACTTAGGTGGAAATTAAAATCAGTTAAGGCTAAAGGGCGAATAGTAAGAGAATAGCATGAGGACTGTAGTAAGGGAAAATATCAACAAAGAAACAGGTGAAAGTAAGTACACACTAAAAGGGCAAATGACTACAAAAGATCCGGTGATTAGAAAAGATAAGGAATTCTAAGGCAAGTGTGCGAATGCACATTCCAGGTACTCTTTTTTTTTTTTTTTGACAAATAATATCAACTTTTATTCCACCTTAAAAAAGCACCAAGCAAAGGCAAATACATTCTTACAGGAGATCAGAAATTAGATCAAGAATATTAATCCAGTCATCTGGTAACCTATCTCTAGCTTTTGATCGTGCCACCCAATCCGCTTTGACATTGGAGGTCCTCGGAATTTCTTCCACCGAAATTGCAGGATTAGTCCGAAGAATATTGACCATTATTCTAATCCACGCTGCACATCTCCAGGGCCATCGCGACTGGCTATTCTTAAGGGCCTTCACCATCATCTGACAGTCAGTTTGTACTATACAAACCGATCCATATTCTTGGGCTAATTTAATTCCTTCCAAGAGAGCCTTTGCTTCCGCTTCAATCGGGGTGGAACAAAGAAGATTTTCAGCTCTCCCATCAGACACTTGTCCATGGTGGTTAACAACAACAACACCATAAGCCGCCGACTAGGAGTCGCTAAAGAACGACCCATCACATTGAATCACTATCGAGTGATCACTTGGCGGGGGATTCGTAGTAGGGTGGGATCCCCTGAGCTGAGTGGGACCATCTGAACCTTGAGGTGGGGGCCTCGGGCAAGCATTCCATTCCGTGAGTTCTCTCTAAGTAGTATTTTCTGAGCAAATAACCGTAGGAAAATACAGCTAAACTAGGAACCTGTCACTAACCTAATAACAAATACAACTTGTTGGCAGAGTAATGGATCGCAAATGTTTTAGTTCTAGATGATTGTTTTTTTGGGCCCAAAAGAGGCTGGATGAGCAAAAGTGGGAAGTAAGTATCTTCCTCAGGCAACAGAGCGAAATAATAAAGTATAACATGTCCAGCGAGAAACGAAAGCTTAATTTCTTAAAGGAAAAAAAAGATTGCATTAGGGGCACAAATGGTGAACTGTGCACAACCTCGATTGCAAGTAGGGATGTCAATCCAATCCATAACCATGGGTACCCTACCCGACCGTAACCGGTCAACGAGGGTAATTACTCACTTTGACGGGTTAAGGGGCGGGTACGGGTAATACCCGTTTTCAAAATAAAGGGTAGGGTACGGTTATGGTAATCGATAATACCCGCCCCGTTATACCCGCCCCGCTAACCAAAGGGTCAATTTTCCTTGAGAAATTTAGTTTAGCTTGCGAAATTTAGTTTAGCTACCATTATTGATGATGAAGATGTAGACGATTATTATGTTTGTGTGGATTGTAGAAGCAAAAACAATTATTATGTGTTTGTTGTTTTTATTTGTGTGGATTGTTGAAGCTAGAACAGTTACAAGTATTGAGAATTTTTAATAGACAACAGTATGTATGTGCATATATGTGTATAAGTTCATAGTTTAGGATTCGTACCCATGGTTACCCGAATACCCGTGGTTACACGGTGGGTAGGGTATGGTTATATAATTTTCATACCCGGTGATTATTTGGTCGTTTATTTTAGAAGGCTTTACCCGGCGGGTTAGGAGTTGGTATAGGGTAAACCCGCCCCCGACCCTACCCATTGCCATCCCTAATTGCAAGTGACCGGTGCGTAAGTTTCCTGATGTAATCAGGAGGTGCATCAATCTTGAACATTTGCAGCATGACGACTCCAAACAGAAACAACCTCGAAGCATTCACGATTGTGCTTGGACCAGGGCAATTGTTTCACTTCAAACGTGTATGCTTGGTAAATGACAGGCTGGAGAAGAATGTCAACATCTGGTTCCTCAAGAGCCCATGCAGGACCTGTTTGAAGGAGTGCTGCAGCAGCTTCATGGCTAATCAGGAATGTTGTCTGATCTGTTTCGTCATACATGTCAGCTGAGATATAGAAGCTGTTCATGGCCAGATTTAGTCATTTGGTTTTGTTTTGTACTTCTATTATTATTGGAGATATCTGTGTATAATAATATGTACCTCCTAATTCTATCGTCATGAGCAATTGGTGTGCAGCAATTGGATTAGACATCATTTGAGAGCAATCTTTCTTTTTGTGGGGATCATTCAGGACACAACCAGCAGAAGAATCCAAAGTTGCGATCGATTGTTTGGACTGATGCCAGACACCTATATGTTGTCTAACCAATAATGATAAAGATGTGGTGAGGATATGCATTCTGAATCCTAGGTTAATCATTAGAAGAAAGAAGGAAACATATATTTCCTGATGTTTCGATGCCCATTTCAGTATCTGTAGCTAAGCCGAAAAGTAATTCCTTGATTGAGTAGCATCTGCCGTGTGGCTGGATTGGCCTGATATATTCTATGGTTCGAGCTTGATCAATTTAGAAGATTGGCATGTTTGAGTTTGAGTGACGGTATTTAAACGACAATATGTTAATGCTTTGTGACTCACGCAACAAAATATATAGTGGCTAGCAAAAGGATAGCTAACCTGTAAAACATTGGTCGATGCATGCGCAAATGTTGGTCAATTATAACCCGTGTGCTGCGGGTGGTTTGATAGATTGTTCTTCCTGTGCGTTAAAAACAATAGTGAGGTTGTGTACAGAATACCAGAATTTCGGACTTTTAGCGATTTACCTTCGAAAAGATAACCAATGAGTGAAGTTATAGTTGCAATGACGGGTCCTTTTTGTTCTTGCTAAGCAACTATTGCCTCAAGTGTGTAAATGATGTTTCGATGCCCATTTCAGTATCTGTAGCTAAGCCGAAAAGTAATTCCTTGATTGAGTAGCATCTGTCGTGTGGCTGGATTGGCCTGATATATTCTATGGTTCGAGCTTGATCAATTTAGAAGATTGGCATGTTTGAGTTTGAGTGACGGTATTTAAACGACAATATATTAATGCTTTGTGACTCATGCGACAAAATATATAGTGGCTAGCAAAAGGATAGCTAACCTGTAAAACATTGGTCGATGCATGCGCAAATGCTGGTCAATTATAACCCGTGTGTTGTGGGTGGTTCGATAGATTGTTCTTCCTGTGCGTTAAAAACAATAGTGAGGTTGTGTACAAAATACCAGAATTTTGGACTTTTAGCGATTTACCTTCGGAAAGATAACCAATGAGTGAAGTTATAGTTGCAATGACGGGTCCTTTTTGTTCCTGCTCAGCAACTATTGCCTCAAGTGTGTAAATGATGTCTCGATCTGCAATATGAGTTAAGATTGGTCATTTGCTGTGTGAAAAAGTTAGTTTATGGATGTAAGCGGCATACAGTTTTGAGTAATGCAAGAGTTCTGTTGATTCGAGCACGAACCAGTCATCCTCTAGAATAATGAGCTGACATAGATGTGTTTCAACTGATGATTCTTCCACATAAGGCGTGGACACAACAACTATGCGGCCTAACACGTCTTTTGTGCAAGCAAATAAAGTAAGAAAAACCTTCATGAGATGTTGGTAAGGAATTAACAAGCGAAATTTTATAGGGAGGGATCTGGGTACCTGATCTTCCTTTGTTGATGAATGCTCGATTGTATAAATTTAAGAAAGGTACTAGTTCAGACATGTTGGTATGATGGTATTCAGATGGCGGAGGTTCCTGAATAGATTGGAAGGTAGTATTTCTGGTAAATCGCAGCTCGAGACTGTTTGAACAAATGCGACCAAAACCCCTTGCAGGACCAACGAAGAAAGAAGTTATCTTGTAGATCTGGCCGGTTTTGAGATTTGGCAGTTCTGATTCCTTAGTTGTTAGATCTGCAGCTGCAACAGTCAATATTCCCTGGTGCAGGCCATGATCGAGAATTACACAATTTGTAATAAACAAAAACTAACATCGAGAGAACAAATAAAAAATGAATACCTTCTTGTCGAGCAGAAGATGATGAACCTCATGATCTCCTGTTGGTGCTTCTTTCCATGTGTGAAGATGTCTGACCTGGATCGGTTCGTCAGTGTAACCTGGGCACAAATGGCGGAGTTCTCTTGTATGATTCATGACTGGAGCGTGGAGAGTTGAGACGATGATTGTTATTCTGGTGTGTTCTTCAAGTGAGGAGCGATAGGTTTGTCAGATGCATTCTAGAAAGGATAAGGTAAGAGATGTTGAGCCGGAATAATTAGCTAGTTTGCATTTAGTAATTTTGGGCCAAAGGCCATTCGCTGCACAATATATCTTTTCAGCTGGGTTGGTTTAAACAGGTCTGGTTTGTTATGTGTAGATGTTTTTGACTAATGATGCTACAACACAGAACACGATAGTTCACATATAGCAAGAATGTGACGTGACTAAATGGTGGCCACCAAGTTATGGATGTAGGTTTGTTTAGTCACTTTTGTGGCTCATAAAATAAGTTGTTCACGATTAAAATTAGCAGAGGATCTTGCAAGGAAAGACCAAAGCATGGTTCAGCTCAGGGCTCAAACAAATTCAATTTTTTTGTCTATTGTTTTGTAAGGCTTGTCACGGGAAATTTTATTTCCAGTAAAAGAAGATAGCAGGGCACGAAAGTAAACTGACCAGCTTGAGCATTTGAACAACAACAGGAACAATATGCAGTTGGTGCAGAAACACACCGCATATGGGGGAATAAATAAGCTGCAGTACAAAAAGACGTGCATTCTGTAGTGCATTGTTCAAGAAGTGACTTAATTGGAAGACATAAAACTACCTGAAAACTCCGAAGTATATGTCTTCCTAAGTCCAAATATTAACTACTACACACCAATAAGCATTAGATTGGAACACATGGCTTACTAATGCAATTTCTGTTCAATACGAAAATACATCAGGAACCAAGAAGTATTTGTTCTACTACACAAAAGCGGGGATGCACAAAACAATACTGGAATTCATGTCTTTTAACTCTGCGTCCCCCAACCCCCCCGGGAATCTTCCTCAGATAACCTGCTGATCCATTTCTTAGTCCTAAGAGCTGAAATAATAACAAAAGAGGAAGTTAATTCTCAAATGTAAATATTTAGCAGTGTTATTCTTCTCCGGGTGAATCTTCTCCGGGTGAAATTGAAAAGACTAAGAATTATACCTTTTGGATCGCAAAATGAGAACAATGTTCTACACCTGTAACTTAAGATCCAGTAATGGTTGAAATGCTTTTGGATGCCAAATTGCAAACATGCGAATCTGTGGCTCATCAGAATATTCTTCTCTAATGATGTATACTTCTGCCATGAATTTGATGTTGCAGCATCCTTTGAGTAATTGAACTCACTGTTCATATGGCATTGTCTGAAACTCGAGCGGTGGCGTACGAATCAGAGCAAGAGCAGATTCATGAGTGATAACAATTTTTGCTCGGTGATTTCCCGATTCACATTCAACATGTAGTTCATAGTATAATCTGAACACATTTGAAGATTAGTTGCAAGCAAAAAAAGTATAGCAGTTTAATAATAAGGAATAGAAAAGCAAAAGTAATTCAGAAATACTTAGTGTCTCTAGGAGAAGTTTTACAGGTTTCAGATCCAAGGTCAAACTTGATTATCTTCAATTTGCATCGATAAAGTATATGTCATATAGTTTTATTAAGCAAAAACACAAAGAATTAGCATTAGGGAGTATTTGAAAACACTGGCACCCAAAGAAGATAATTGTGAACTTAGTTGTAGTCCTAGCAATATACTTTTGGTTGATAGATGTATAGCATTATGTAAGAGATAATGACAACTACCTCAGTTTCTGGTTCTCCTAAAGGGAGCTTGTCCGTTAATTCCAACAATGAGATTCTGGGAGGAATTTTGTGGCGAAGGTATCCAACATGTTCTTTTGATCTGTAGTTGATGATATCCACGGGTAGTCTGTTACGAAAGAACCTAAAATGTTTTGTTTGCTTAATTAAAAAAGGGTTAGACTTTTTCCCCCGCAAAAGATAGAAAAGAGAAACACATAGATGTAGTGGTGTGCCTGTTCATAATATCTTGTGTCATTTCATTGTATGAATGTACAATTAGACGACTGCCAGGAGATGTCACGAAACATAATGGCTGAATGTGGGTGAATTAGTGGATGTTGCGGGTAATTGTTGTTGCTATCACAACCAGAGGATAATGAACTTCTTTGGAATCAACACTTCGAATGAATTCTCTAATCCCTATGCCAATATAGCTCACAAGTCCTTTGTTTCCACTATACAGTTGTCAAACGGATTATAAGCGACAATATATACTGATTTTGATTTAATAAGACATAACACTAATTAATTATAAATGGTACCTCATATCTTCAAGATGAATCTGGAACATAGATATATTAGAATTCACTTTGATTGGTTCCGTGATATGTGTCACACATCCGATGATATCTGAAATATAATTTCATTTTAGTTGTTTAAGTACATGTGGTGGTTATGGTGCGACATTTGGAATATAAAAGTTTTTGTATATGAAATTGAATATAGTGTGTTGATACCTGGTGGCAAACATAAATAATAAGTACATGAGTAGCAGATCGGAGTACTTTTAGAAAGAGCATTGTCATTGAAAGGAATGTGAAGAAAAGAGTTATTTAGAAAATGCATGGTGCTGCGATATTCATGCATCAGTTTGAAGGAAGCTCCCTCAGCGAAATACAATCTCAAGTTGGAAGGTTTAGTGCTACGTTCCGATCTAGCTGGTATGACAGTTGGGTTCATCATGACATACAAACTTCCAATCTGAATGTCTTTGCAAATATGAGCAAAAACCGCGTAGCGTGCATTTGCTTCCATAAGTTGTCTCTGAAGGAGTAAGAATGCAGGAACTGTGTTTATTAAAGAGATAATGTGTCTAAGGTATAAACAGTAGGTCTGAATTGTTTATAAACATACCTCTTTATCCAACCAAAGCATATGCATCAAGGTAATAGATGCATTCCATTTGTTTCAGATTCTGACCACATGTTTAACAGTCGAGCCATAAGGAAATGGTTTTCTGTTCCAGGACGTAATCCACGAAAGGTTGTGGACTGAGTCATTACATGTAAAAGCAAAATTGTGACAAAATCAACATGGATACTCTACTCTATAAGGAAAGCTAAACAACTAATCGAAAAGGTATCATGTAGGACTTCAGGTAGGACTTCCCCTCCCATTGTCGCCCAAAATAGGAATTGCGGATTTTGACAGCGTTTTGTGGCAGGCGCAAGTTCTGGCTTAAATTGCGAAAAGAAACAAAATTAGCAAAGTTTCTGGCTAAGAATACAGAAACCGGAGGATGAATGTGTAGTACTTGCCGGTATGTAGTTCTGTATGGGGCCGGATGCGGGATATGGGGGACGTCAAGGCTGCGCCAAGCAGTTTTCCTTTTTAGGGTTTCTGGTGCGACGAAAACATCTGTGACTGAAGGAGAGAAATAACACCAATCCCTTTTTGTTGCAAGTCCATGTGAAAGCAACTGCCGAAGATGGATTGGGATTTTCATTTTTGGGCCGTTGTTCTAGCGAACATACTGAAATAATAGAATGCATAAATTTCATCTTTTTTTTTTAATGTATTCGTGGGGCTGTCTAATTAAATAGAAAAGCAAGGCCAGTTTTTTGTCATCACAGAATGTTCGTGATGTTGGGCTTGAATGGGGCGTTGGGAATGGGCCAATATTGTAACGGGCTGGACGGGAGAGCAGCGATGCATCAAAATAGGAAAAGTAGTGTAGAGTTCATAAATTGAAGCGCAACTATTTTGCAGAGATCTTACAAAGCCGACAGATAGAAAGGGCGAAAGAAAAATGAAAGGGAAGATAATTGCAGCGACAAAATGGCCTTGCTTGTGGAATAGCACCCCACACAAAACAAAGCTGAACAAAGGGACTGAAGAAACTCCAGGCATAAGAGTTTCGACCTGGAAAGAATACATAGATTAGATGTGGTATGGATAAGCAAAATAGTGCAGGTTAATCTGCATTAAAAGACCGAATAGTAGTTGTTGTTTATACCCACCTATCGTTAGAAGAGTGCTGGTAGGAAAGAGCGATATATTGGAAAAGTTGTATTTGAAAAAACATAACAGAACTGCAAAAAGACACACAAACCAACATAATCGGTATAAAAAACATTGCACTTCTAGGAGGTCGTTCTGTAAGTAAATGGTAAAACAGTGAATGCATCAAATGGAAAGCAGTACCTGCAGCTAAGAAGATGGGTTCTGAAGGTCAGCAAATGCTTCCTGGTAAACAATATTGCGGGTATAGTTGGAGGGCACTCCATCCTCATTTATAATAAGAAACCGTAGACCATCTGTTGTTCTAACCCGAGAAATAGCAACATAAAGCTATCCATGACTGAATGCTGGACTCGGCAGATAGACACCGACATTCTGCAATGTGTCCCTGACTTTTGTTGATTGTCATAGCATAGCACAAGCGAACTAGAAATTGACGTCGTTTAAGGACAAATGGCCAACAATAATCATTGATACTGAGGACGATCCTCGGTATTGCTACAGTCTTACCATTGAATGTGCCGCCCATAGCCCCTTTATAACATAATGTCCCAGATAAAGCACCATCAAGCGTGTACCATTACAAAGACCAATGGATGGGTTAAGATTCCTCAGCAGCATAATCAGAGCAAATACCTTGAGATCAATCTGATGTTCAGGGCAACCATTGAAAGAGAGGGAGTTTAGGAATTCAGTGGGATATTCTGCTTCTAGGCGGTCTGGATCGCTTGAATTTGTATGGAGCCCGTCACTAGTGAAATATGTGCGAGGCATTCCTGGGATAAGAGCAAGCATATGAGAATTGATCTCTGTGACATTTCGATTAGTCGGTGTAATAATTGATCTTTCAGTCAGGTACGAAACACTATGGAACCGTTGAGCGAAGTCAGGATAAACCGTAGAAGAAATTGTCTCAATAGGATCTTCTGTAGAAGAAAGCATCAATTCAGGAATCTCTATCCAATCAGCAGGCTGGTTGGTGGAAAAAGATTTTCCTGGCACATTCCCATTCCCTACAGCAAGAGTCCATTCCGTAGAGGGCATGCCGCAGAAATTTTGCCTCTGCCTCTCACTGGAAGCAACAACACGCATGTTTTCAGTCAAATGCAAGATAGTACAGTACTGCCATAAGAAGGAACATGTAAGAGATGAATCAATGCTCTCCTCTCTTCCAGCATCAGTTACTATTGGTAGCGTCTGTCTAAAGTTGCCTCCAAGAAGAACAACCTTGCCGCCAAATGGTTTGTAGTTTGCACCAGTAAAAGGAACGTTCATAATATCACAAAAAGCTCTGTTAACCGCTTCAAAAGACAATCTATGAACCATTGGGGCTTCATCCCATATTATAAGCGATGCATCACTGATCAACTGAGCTAATGGCGTACCTTTTTTGATATTACATGAAAAACCATGGTCGATCTCCAGGGGTATTTTAAATCGAGAGCGAGCTGTACTTGCATCAGGAAGTAATGTTGCTGCAATTCCCGAAGAAGCGACCACAAGAACTATTCCAGCTTCTTTAAGGCGCGCAAGAATAGTTCTGTAAAGAAAATTCTTGCCAGTGCCTCCATGTCCATATAGAAAGTAGAATGTATGTGAATCTCTAGTTGGAGAGACAACAGATGTCATGACCAAATTAAAGGCCTCAAGCTGCTTTCTGTTAAGATTACCAACTACAGGAAATGGGAAATCTATAGGAAGTAAAATGGAAGGATGCGAATCAGTTCCAGAATGAAGCAAAGGATCAGTTTGTGGAGGGCCATCTGTTGACAGGGGAAGGTTAAAATGAGACAGTGTGGTTGAATAAGCATTCAACATGTGTTGCAGCTCCCACAACAATTTATTTTTGGGCATTTCAGGTGGTATCAAGTTGTTGTTGAAGCAGACATCTCATTGGCACCTATACGTGATATCTTCGGAAAGCAATTCCCATGTTTGATTGAAAAGCTGAAGTGGGTTAGATAACTCACAGAACATCAACATGGAGACAAAGAGATATCGCAAGAGGCATCACATGCCCCATTGACTGACTTCTTTAATCACAAGTAACCATTCGCCATCATTAGACAGAAGACCAAGTCGTTGGCATTCATCCTGGTACGTTCGACATGGGAATCCATGAATTGTTCGAAGATCTGCATAACTGACATACCCACGGATTTTGGTCAGAAGTTGTCTCAAATAGAAGGTGTCACCACAACCAGGATGAATATAGACAATCCGTCCAATCGAGAACCCTTTCTTCCTATGACACCATGTTTTTGTTTTCAGATTCCAGACATAACGATTTGGAGTTTCAGCATAGAGAAATTCCCTGGCGGTTGGATCCCGCTGGTTAAGAGCAAACCACTGTGTTAATGTTGTTTATGAAACATCATCGTGGGCAAGTATTCGAGACAGACGCTATTTTTTCTATAAGGAACATAATGTCTCCCTTCAAGATGAACGCACAAGCGTTGAATGGCTGATGTCTGTTCATGAATTGGAAACTCAAAGATACGCCATGCTGCCTCATATGAAGACAGACTTATACAATCAAGGAACTGCTTAATTTATCCAATGGAGGGATATGGTTTGGGATCCCAGTATTAGGCAAAGTCAAACCATCAGTCTCAGCAAGTACCATGGATCTATCTAGGCCCTTTGTAATGTACTTGAACATATATTTAATCAACCGACCTTGATGACAAACCTCGACATTTATATGCGCTTGAAATAACACAAGTAAATTTCTATTATATGGAACAATAAACCGGTTGTCAAGCACAGTTGTACCTTTCACTGCTGTTATCCCTGTATCGCGACGACGATATACTGTGTAACCAAATTGATCCATTGTAGTTTCTATATTGAACGGTTTCGGGAAATACTTTGAACATGACCCTTCTTTCATGCAAATATTAGTCGGATTATCTTCACCACATGGGCCATGGAGCATAAACTTTGTCACAACATCATACCCAACTGGATCATTGAGTGGACCTGGCATCTCAGCACTAACAGTTGCATCAATATCAAAAGGTGTACGCAACTTATTCTTTGAATCTAACCATAGAAGTATATGAACATGGGGCATACTCTTATGGAACTCTACTGTTTTGATGCCTGCAAGTATAAGTTAATGAAACCTGTTATTTACAATAAAGTAAAAATGGAAAGGTAAATAAGCAAGTACATGGTGAAAGCAACATGAGAGTTGAGAACAGGTCATCTTAAAAGAAACGAAGAGCAAAATGCAAAGGGAAAACCTGCTACTGTTTGGCCAAAAAAGTGGCCTTGTGTCAATTCATCTTCCAGTGAATTAAGCTTCATGCGGAAAACCCTGGCCACAATGTCTGGTTTCAGTTCGCTCCTTGAACCGCACAGAGCACGAAAGGATTTTGTAATTTCTGGCCACTGAGAGTTGCACGTAAAGGTAATGAACAGATCCGGACTACCATGATGGTGGACAACTGCCATTTTGTCTAGGTATAATTGCTTCATGTACCTAGGACTCCCGGTATGCGATGATGGCAACACAACATGGACAACATCATCTCCTGTAACATCACCTCTGTTGAAAGCATCCGTGAGACCATAGTACAATTCAGAGCGAAGGTCTTCTTGATGTGAGCGTAGATAGTAAAGTCGATTCTGTTCGATTGTGGAATAAGCATCGACCACATAATGCTGGAGTGCCTTGCCACCACGCATCAATGTTTGGCCCTCGTCATCTCTATGCTGTAGGCGGAAGGCATAGTCTTCTCTTTGAGTCACATGTTTCCTCTTTAGTGACCTGGGAGTATGAACGGGGTCATATGGTATGTTTACATGGAATCCATCTTCTCCATATGGGAACAGAACCGGGAAGTGCAAGGCATCATACTTAGGGTGAACACTTGTGATCCTCTTTAGGCCCTCTTACCGATGGTTGATAATTATGTTGCGTTCTTCCTTGTTAGTCAAGAAGTCACCCAGAATGAGTCCAGCTAATTCAGAACCAGTCGGAAGTTCATACCGTCGAGATGCTGTGTCTCTAGTGCCAACAATACGCAACCTTAAATTGAGTGATGCTGGATCCATCAATTTCAAACAAATTCGCCTGAAAGACTTAACCAGGTCATTTGTCATATCAAATAGCTTCATCAAACCGGAAACAATATCTGGACGCAGGCACCTCTCAACAGCAGAAAAATTGGACAGTCGATATGCTAATTCAGTCTGTGGGTCATAGACATAGAGTTGAGAATATTTTGGTTTCTGGCCTTCAATAGGAAGCAGAGATCCCATGCGATGATAATTTTCTCCACATATTACAAACGAATAAGGCCCTCGCGACCGTGTAGCTCGTGGATCAAGTCGTGCTCCAAAAGATGTGAAAGAAAAAACAGCATTATAAGAGCGTATATGTTCCCTGAAATGCGCTGCCATAGGACCGCCATTGATACCCAAGAGTTCTCCAAGATACTGAGGAGTTTCCTGAAGGAATGGCAGGCGTACTCGACCCTTTTGACAACAAAGTGTGAAAACAGGGGCAAGAGTGCATGCCTGTTAAGCCGCTCCTCATACCAGAAGCGTGCACCACAGTATTGACATTCACAGTCAGGAAAAGCATGATCGATAGTCCTAGTAATTCTGGTTGTTGTGCAGGTGGAAGAGACACAACAGGCAACAAACGATCATCACCCAATGGGGAGACTGCGGGCTAGCTGTTGGCCCTTCCAGATTTCCTAAGTCCTGTTGAGAGAAGGCAAGGCTAGGTCCTGAGTCAAGGAGCGGGTGCAAGCGTCCGCATTTGTCAAAGCTGCCGTTTTCTATTCGTCGAGCGTCCAGGCACCCGTAGTGCAGCCTGGTTGTAAGAAGCCCGATGCATAAACATTGGCGTCAAACAACAAACAAAACCTGAAACATCATGTAGAAGCTAGGACAGGAAACAAATCACAAATCTAGAAAGATGAAGGCAGGAAAACTGGAAAACTAACCATCAGGTGTCTTCCAAATGGGCGCTGGGGAATAACGGTACTGCCAGAACCAAGCAGGCAGTAAATAAATAGGTAAGATTGCAGCGGTTGTAGTACATAATATTTTGAGATAACCACCACCTGCAAGAGAATGAGCATAAAAGAGCATTAATGACAAGAGTTATGGAGGAAGACAGTATACAGGGCAATCGTTCTCTCTGGGAAAAAGTGAGAATTCCAATAATGTAACCTGTAACACAATAAGACAGTGTAGGGAAGTGAGAACCAAAAAACAATCATTACTGTACATGACAGTCAGACCATTAAATGTATGATGGGAATTAGTAGCAGGCAAATGAGTTAATAATTTTGGTCTAGGGAAGCAAGAAAACAAAGTAATGGATTAATCCCATAGGTGAAATGGGTAGCTAATGAGATAGAAACTAAATCGCCAAAAGTAAAAGGCAAATTCATGATCTAGTTGGGAACTGATGTGTAAATTTACAAAGGTTTAGGTGTTAGGATTGAAATTGAATCTCCATCAAGCGAGAAACCTGTGTATTATATGCTGTTGAAAGTGGGCGCTGACAAAAGACAATTCCCTAAATCCGACCAAATAGCAAGATAGTCAATTATCTAGCACAATGTCAAGTTGAAGGGTTAAAGCGATTTTGGGCGAGATCCTCAAATTATGTACAATAACTAAAGAATCAATAGGAGCAACAAACCTCATTAACAAAGTAAAGTTTAATACGCAGAGTGGCGCAACACCATCATACCAACAAAACTACATGGACAAACTTGTATAGATAGGAACCACATAACCGTTGGATAAAAAGCAAGAATTCAAAGTACTAATACGCAGGAGACATAAACCAATACCAACCGAGTTCCACGACAGGGCTATACCGAGAATAGTGGTGGTAGTAGGAACACCACAAAATGTAGGCTGATAAGCTGTTAATTGTACATGTTTTTACCCCTATTCTGGAGCCGTTTGAGTTGGTAATTCTCGTGTTTTAGGCCGATTTCATGCTAGGTTGTGTTTGTTTGTGATATTTCAAGTCCTAGAAAGAGAATGAAGGTTTAGGAGCGAGTTCGGGGTTGATTGGACGAAGATCGGGCACGAGGCAAGTCGAAAAGGAAGCCACACGGGCACACCCACAACTCACACGGCCGTGCAAGTGACCACTTTGGCCGTGTGAGATTGTGCGAGCCTTCACACGACTTGCCCTGAAATCCACACGGCCGTGTGAAGGAGTGGTTTGGCCGTGTTGAATTGTGCGAGACTTCACACGGCCAGGCAGGGTGAGTTACACGGCCGTGTGACCCTGGCCGTGTAGGTTGACTGAAGTCCAATTAATCGATACGCGGCGTTTTGAAGTCACACGGGCAACTGGGTATGCCACACGGCCGTGTGGCCCTGCCCGTGTGAGTCGGGAATTGCTGGTTAAAACCCGATTTTCAGGAAAAGGAGAGGGGAGAGCTGGGTTTTGGATCCCAAACACCCAAGGGACGAACCCTAGAGAGAGAGAGAGCGACTTGGGAACATTCTTGGAGCTATTTTGAAGGATTTCTTCGCCATTGGAGCTCGGGAATCAAGCTTGGAGATGGAGATTGAAGATCTAGATCAGATTTCTGCAGTCTCTCTCTTCTCTATGGAGTAACTTCCCTTCACTTAGGTTTTGAGGAACCCTAGTTCCATGAGTTAGGATCGTTCTTGTATGAAGTTTTGGATGCTATATTGTTTGATTATAATCGATTGAGGCATGATTTATTGAGTCAATGGAACCTTGATCAAATTCTCTTGATTTCTGCTTTATCCTATGATAGATAGAATCTGATTAGGTTAAGAGAGCTTCCTTGATTGATGGTGGTGAATTGGTTATACGAGAGTTAGTCAATCTAATGCTTTGTACTGGAATCCAATTCCGGTAGTGGAGTTCTGTGTTCATAGCCTCAGCTTTCTATCCTGGTGAAGTTTAGTTGCCTGCCGGGTAGTTGGACTGAGAGGGCTTGGTCAGCTTAAGAGATTCCAAGCTACTGTCGAATCTTCAGCAGTTTAATCAACAATAGATCAACCAAAGGTAATTGCAACTTGGACCTAATTGAGGAGTTAGGGGGAATCATACCTAAGTGAGTTCACAACTTGTAATTAGTAGAGTAGTCAGTAGAGTAGTTTATAAATCAATCCTTAATCTAGTTTGCTAGATAATGAACTGAAGCTGAGTAATAGTAACTCTAGAGACCCGTGGATTCGATATTTATTACTTGTGCCACTATACTGCAGTCCCTTTTATTGGTTACACTAGGCCATTGTTAGGTGTTGTGTTTTAGAGCATCAAATTTTTGGCGCCGTTGCCGGGGACTTTCTAGATTATTAGGAAAGGCAGAAGTTTGTTACTTTAGCGTTTTTCTTTTCTTTTCCACCCTTGCTTTTCACTTGGGTGTTTTTGTTTTTGTTGGTGCAGCTCTGAAACATGGACCCTCATGGCTTCTCCAACCATTGGGGGTATCAACCACCATCCGTGTGGTATTACCCCGAGACTTCCTGGAGCAATCAAGGAGGAGAAGACTATGGGTTCGGATTCCAGTACCAACCCCCTTACTACGGAGAACAATCAGACCCCTGGGCATATCAAGAACAACCTCATTACCAAGAAGACTTTCTCCCACAACAAGAAGGGCCGTCAGATCTTGAGTTAGCCACAACCTTCACGGGCCACTCTGCAGAGCCATGCTACACTTCACTGGAAGATCCGAAAAAACAATTAAGGCTTCTCGTGGAGCAGTTTGCTCGAGACACTGAGAGATCCTGCTCCAAGATGGATCTTCAAATCCAAGCCCTTGCCTCTTCCGATCCCTCATTTCTCCATGATATGGAGGAGACTGTTCAGCGCTCAGCGAAGCAAACAGAGTGGGTGGAGCAAGTTTGCTAACATCTTGCTCAAGATCACCTTTCTACTACCACGCTAGAAGAGGTGGAGGATGACAAAGGCTACGGGAGCGTTGAGGAGCATACAGAAGTTATCACAGAGAACTCCCATGATAATCATGATCAGGAAAGTCCTTTGGTTGCAGATCACACCTTTCCTCATTTATGCTCTAACATGCTGGGCCCGTGCGAGGAGATGCAAGATGATCCCATTGAAGAAACTGCTTGGCGACTTGCTCTCCAGTCTGTTCTAGAAGAAGAAGAGCGAGCAAGGATGAGGAAGGAAGTTGTGGAGGATGAGGAAGAAAGAAAAGAAGAGGTGGTTCTTGATCTTTTCCCAGGGGAGAGACCACATTTTGAAGAAGGAAGGGGGGTTGAGGAAGCAATTGGCGTCCAGGCTGAGGATGAAGTTAAGGTGGAAGAGTCCTGCACCGGCCATGAGTTGCAAGTAATATCCCCACCAAACTTTGAGGAACTGCTTAGCAAGGACCCATTTGCAGTGTCTCTTTGCCAGACCAAGGCCACATCAACATCGGTCCCTCTTGGTGGCAAGATGGTGGCCAATCGATGCTGTCATATCTGGTTTGGGGCAATGAGACGAGAGAAGAGAACAAGAGGTCTCGAGGGTGGAGACTTCATCTGCATCAAGTACATGAGCCTTCATCACCTGCCACACCACATGCTCGTGACTTGAGACTCCACCTCATCGACGAGAACCTCAACTTCAAGGAGGTTCTAGCATGGACCGAAACTTAGGAGCCATCGTCCGGCTCACGACGTGAAAGAAACGCTTGTTGGGAGGCAACCCAACCAGTCGGTTTGCATTTCTTTCTCTATTTCTCCTCGGTTGAGTCAGTTTTGCTATTTGATTTTAGAGTCAATAACTCAACCTTTGTGAGATTTTGTGTGGTGTTTGTGTTCTGATTACTCTCTCTTTCTGGAATGCACCGCCTGACCCGTTCATCATCATTCACCCTCGATCTGGTAACTTCGTTCTACCCACCTTATCTTTCCTCCATTGAGGACAATGTCGTGCTTAAGTGGGGGGGGGGGGGTGTTCGATTATTTATGCGGGTGAATGTTTGGCTGTTTGTGTGCTTGGAGCCTAGTCCACTGTCCAAATCTCGAGATTTGAGGGCTCCAAGTACGGCTGTTTGATCATATTGGCACTGTGTTTTGATTGGTGAATGGAATTGTTTTCGGATTGATGCATGACAACTGGATAGTGACTAGGACAACCTATAATGATGACTGAGACGTACAGTAGAATTGTGTAGGGGTTCAGTTTTTTCAACTGTTTGCTTACCAACTGTGACTCGGATTGATTACTTGCTTTTGACAGTCTCTTATGCATCTAGTTCAGGGAATCAGAATGAGAGATAGAGCATATAGGTAGCCATGTGATATTTGAGCCTACTCGTTTCTTTCTTGTGCGATAGTTCCCTCTTCCATGATGTGTAGCATTCACGTTGTCATTAGCTAAGATGATGGAGGCATAGGATTAGCCCACGACCAAATTGACTGTCCTGGTGTGTCATACGCATACCCCCTAGTCAGCCCCTTTGAGCCGTGTGTTACCCTTTCTTTCGGTCTTCAATGAAAAGTCACCCTTTTTGCATCTTTTAGAAGGTTCCACAGAGTGATTTCTACATGTTCTCTGCTGTTTCTGCTAAATATAATGTGAGAGTTGGAGGTAGTTCTTAAAAAGTTGGGCAGGTGTTTGAAAATATGCAGAGGTGGTGGTTCTCTTAAGAAATGAAAAGAATGAAAGAAAAAACAAAGAAAAAATGAAAGCAAAAGAGAGCCACCACCAAAAATCTGAACAGTGCCCATTAAGTAGTGTTTCTTAGCAGTTTGGCTTAGAAATACTGGTGTTTATGTGACCTCCTTCGCTCTTGTGCTCTGAATTTGAGTAATGCAGAATAGCAGAAAAAAGTACTGGTTTGATTGACTGTGAGTTGTTGGGTTTGGAACTGTGGAACCTTGTGCTATGAATGTTTCCACCACCTAAAAGGCCTTTTCCCCATGTCCAAGACCCTAGCCAGTCACTTGAACCTGTGTCTAAGACCTCCTGATTAGTTAGTGATGACAACCATGAACCATCTATGTGAACTCTAACCTTTAGAGGCTGCCGTCATGGTGAAGAGATGTTAGGATTTGAGAGAACGGGTATGCGCATTTTTCGCATCAAATTGTCCTGACCCCACTGGTCGAGAGTGAGCGATTCATTTCCTTGTTCTTTACACTCTTTACCCGGTGAGGACCTAGATTGCTCGGTCTCTATTCTGATATCTTGAGTTTTATGCATGAGTTGACTGTCTTGAGTGAGTGATTGAGTCAAGTCTAGGTTGGTTGATGAACAGAAGGGAGACTCCTCCTTTACTCGATTTTGCTGCACTTGAATGTCTTCTGTGGTGGTTGTCCAGGTTGCTATTAAGGTTGTTCATGTGTTGATGTTTGAAAACCAGTATGATTCACGTGTTTCTGTGCCTATATGATTTGTCCCCAATGTTGGTTGATTGAAATATGTGAGCTTACCTTGTGTCTGACTTGGTTTGCTTGGGGACAAGCAAACGGTTAAGTGTGGGGGAGTTTGATAAGCCGTTAATTGCACATGTTTTTACCCCTATTCTGGAGCCGTTTGAGTTGGTGATTCTCGTGTTTTAGGCCGATTTCACGCTAGGTTGTGTTTGTTTGTGATATTTCAGGTCCTAGCAAGTGAATGAAGGTTTAGGAGCGAGTTTGGGGTTGATTGGACGAAGATCGGGCGCGAGGCAAGTCGAAAAGGAAGCCACACGGGCACACCCACAACTCACACGGCCGCGCAAGTGACCACTTTGGCCGTGTGAGATTGTGCGAGCCTTCACATGGCTTGCCCTGAAATCCACACGGCCGTGTGAAGGAGTGGTTTGGCCATGTTGAATTGTGCGAGACTTCACACGGCCAGGCAGGGTGAGTTACACGGCCGTGTGACCCTGGCCGTGTAGGTTGACTGAAGTCCAATTAATCGATACGCGGCGTTTTGAAGTCACACGGGCAATTGGGTATGCCACACGGCCGTGTGGCCCTGCCCGTGTGAGTTGGGAATTGCTGGTTAAAACCCGATTTTCAGGAAAAGGAGAGGGGAGAGTTGGGTTTTGGATCCCAAACACCCAAGGGACGAACCCTAGAGAGAGAGAGCGACTTGGGAACATTCTTGGAGCTATTTTGGAGGATTTCTTCGCCATTGGAGCTCGGGAATCAAGCTTGGAGATGGAGATTGAAGATCTAGATCAGATTTCTGCAGTCTCTCTCTTCTCTATGGAGTAACTTCCCTTCACTTAGGTTTTGAGGAACCCTAGTTCCATGAGTTAGGATCTTTCTTGTATGAAGTTTTGGATGCTATATTGTTTGATTATAATCGATTGAGGCATGATTTATTGAGTCAATGGAACCTTGATCAAATTCTCTTGATTTCTGCTTTAACCTATGATAGATAGAATCTGATTAGGTTAAGAGAGCTTCCTTGATTGATGGTGGTGAATTGGTTATACGAGAGTTAGTCAATCTACTGTTTTGTACTGGAATCCAATTCCGGTAGTGGAGTTCTGTGTTCATAGCCTCAGCTTTCTATCCCGGTGAAGTTTAGTCGCCTGCCGGGTAGTTGGACTGAGAGGGCTTGGTCAGCTTAAGAGATTCCAAGCTACTGTCGGATCTTCCGCAGTTTAATCAACAATAGATCAACCAAAGGTAATTGCAACTTGGACCTAATTGAGGAGCTAGGGCGAATCATACCTAAGTGAGTTCACAACTTGTAATTAGTAGAGTAGTCAGTAGAGTAGTTTATAAATCAATCCTTAATCTAGTTTGCTAGATAATGAACTGAAGCTGAGTAATAGTAACTCTAGAGACCCGTGGATTCGATATTTATTACTTGTGCCACTATACTGCAGTCCCTTTCATTGGTTACACTTGGCCATTGTTAGGTGTTGTGTTTTAGCATGTCATAGGCAAAGTTGGCATAAACACACAGAAGGCAAAGGAGACCTAATGCATCACTCGCCAAATAGCGCATCCCCCAAAAGCAGTTGCAAAAGGAAGTAAATGGAGGCCATCGCAGGAACATCAGAGACCAGCACTCGTTTCTAGAAGGCAAGGCTAAACGGCAAACAAGCGTTTCTTAGTAGGTTCTTTAGCAGAGGACCTGGGAGTTTTTTTCTTCCCCTTACAAGTCTCCATAGATGCTTCAATGGCCTTTTTAGACGGTGTTCTGGTTCCCTGTGACCTCCCAGAGTCGGTTTCCCCGGCTGGAAGCACCGAAACTTCTTGGACAGCAACAACAGTGTTAGGGATGACAAAGTCAATGTGAGAAGCAGTGGTAAGTGGAAAGGTGGCAATGGACTATTCTTCTAGGGGAAGTTCAACATCATAATCTTGCAGCTCTAGTGGAACAACAAGTTCATCTTCATCAAAATAAACAACCAAGCGCCGACGGCGTACATGTGTAGGGTTCGCAAGCACTTTTTTGCTACAAAATGAAAACACACAGAACAGGTTCATGAACAGACTGTCCATAAATAGAAGAATACCATGCACAAAATTGTGTACAATTTCCAACAAATTTGTGAAACGAAAGTGGGATCATGGTGACAACAAACAACAAACTAGGACAAAAAACGCAATAAGTAAAGAATGATTATTGGGCAAACCAGGTGGATAAGATTTTATTAGAAGAGGACTAAGCAAATACAGTAATAATAGGAAAAATGGGCAGAGGAAAGAGACAATTAGACAATGCAAAAGCAGTCCAGGGAAGAGGGCAAAACAATATGCAAGAACTATAAATATGAGGGAAGGACCAGCTCAAAAACGAATTAAGTACAACAGAAGAACCTAAAATTGAGTAAATCAGAAGTGACACCAACATCAGGCAAGGACCACTGGATGAAAAGAAGGAAAGAAGGTAGTGCTAGAAGGCCTGACCTACGAACTAAACAGCCTGGATAATAAAATATACAGATTCGACAATTTTCGTTAAAAAGAAAGGTTACACATTCCTGGATAATCAGTGCGGGTACTCAAAGTTGAGATTGATTGTTCGCAGAGCAAATCAAAATATGGAAGAGAGAGAGACTCTAAGGAAGATGCATAACTACATCTATTGGCAACTTTATGTCATGCAAACAGCACAGAAGCAACAATGCAAGCACAACACCAACCTCAGCTTCAATGGTGTTTGGTGTCTTTCTGCGTTTTTTTGTCCGAAAGAAGAGTTTCTTGCAGAGTGGAAACCTTGGGCTGGCTTGGTTCAGAATTCTTGGGAAAAGGAATGTAAATTATAAACTGACCAAGCAATGAACATTACAAAGCAAATAACCAAAGAGCAGACAAACATTGTCTTAAGTGGCGTTTTCTTCGAGGTTGTTTTTTTTGAGCGACCGGTTTTGTTTTGCGTGGAAACTTCTGCATTGGCTGTTTCAAGTTCCCTGATAGAGGTAGTGTCAGCACAGAAATGGTCTTAGATCCAGCGAGACAGGAGGAAAAGGAGAAATGGCTTTTACTGCGGCTCTGGAGGCGGTCCAGTTTGGCGAAGCACTGCCTCAGTTCTAGGTCTAAGAAACAATAGAAAAAGTGGTCATGTAAGAGGCAATGGATATAAGGAGAATACGTTAAATCTAACGGCGAGTAGTAAGAAACCCAAATGGAAGAAAGGTTACCGTGCATAGGAAACAGGACCAACCCGAGCAAGTTGTGGGGAAGGGACCTCAGAGTTCATGCTGGAAAGTAATAATATATTTAATACAGACACATCATAATGCAAAAAATATAAGCAGGCCAGTAAGTCCAATAATAAGCAACCAACCTTCCCAATGCAACAGATGTTGATGAAGAACCAGTAGGAATGCGCCTGCTTCAAAATGGTGCGAGGAGAACCCATTAAAACATAAAGTATAAATATGCAGGGGAGATCGCGACAGTACTTAAACAGTGTGTGCACGCCAGACATTAAGCATAGTAAAACGTGTTAATAAACCTTATGTAGGGATGCCGTGGAGGAGTAGAGAAGGCAGTTTGAGAACTACCACTGCAAAGTGAAGAGGAAATTAGAAATCAGGTTGAGGAAAAGAAATATGGAAAGTAAAATTTGAGGAAATTGAAGCATAACCTCGGCGAATCAGCAGAAGACACTGGGTCCATTGCAGAAGCGCGCATTGATAGGACAGACTGCATGGAACTAACAGGGAGCATGGGAGAACTGCGATGAAGAAGCACACGATGTTACTAAAGACAAGCTAAGCGATCAGTGTAAAAAAAGCAGAACGGGCGAACTAACCTGCTAGGAGGTGGTGTATGGGCGTTGCATTCTTAGTCGGCGAATGGGAGTTGGAGAATGGGAATTGGGTTGTTCTTGCTCCGTGGCAGAAAGCACTGTGAACTCTCGTGGTCAACGAGACCCATATTCAGGCTTTGGAAGTTGCACATCAAAAGAAAAGTCTCGCCCTTCGAGAGCTAGAAATTATTGTGGCAAACTGTTACGTTGGTGAGGGAACCTAGCAGAGAGATCGTGAGCAGTCAACCCCACAAGGAGGTCAGCGGCCCTCCCAAGCAGCACAAATACTGCTGAGCCAGTGGTGTCATCAACAGTCGCTCGAAGCTTGTAACTGCAGATAAAAGGGACTGGAAGAACTTATCATATCAGACATAGAGAAAAGGCGGTTAAGCAAAGATCAAGCATGGAAATTACAAGTTCTGTGCTTGCTGAGGTACTAAAAAATGGTGGTCATCACACCACTTGTCAACACCATCATAGTCTATGGCTGCTTTGGAACACAACGCATAACCCAGGTAATACCCCTGCACAGAAGAATCGACAGAAACAATTCGGCTGGAGCAATGGTACCGCGTAGACTATAGGTTATGAGCAGTGAGAAATGGGAAGTGATCAGAACAGGAGGTAAGGAAGAAAACAGAAAGGAACTGATGGGTAAGCGATACAGTAAAAAAAACACACATACATCGGCAACAGGCGGAAAACACAAGGCAAGCAATTGCGATACAGTTTTTGTGCACTCAGCTTCGAAAGCTGCTTCTTCATGAGGAGTTGCAAACCTCGGAGGGTAGTAATGAACTGTATTAGTGCTGGAAAAGAACCTGGTGAGAGGAAACCCAACAAAGGCAAGCAATCAACAGAAGCAGAAAAGGAACTGGCAGGATAAAAACTAAATCACAAAGGCAACAAAAAACACCACAAGCAAAGAGGAACAACATACACAGATTGAACCAAGTGAGACATCTCAGATACGGGGTTGAGAACATAGCGGGTGTCTGGAGTACTGGTAAGAGAATAACCTCCTGTAAAAGGGAAAAGATTAATAAGATGAATAGAAAGCAAAATAAATAATATGAATCATTGGAAAGGCATATGTAGACCTCTAGTAGCGCTAGTGACCCAAAGCGAGCAAACAACAAGCAGGATAGGGTCAGAGTGACCAAGAACAACCAGGTCCTGACCATTGAGAGTTCTAGCTATCCCGCCCCATAAGCTGATGTCAAGAAACATATGGTTGGGCAAGAACCCCAAAGCTAGTAAGTAAAAAGGGAAGACAGGTGTAGGAAACAGAGCTGTGGAATTTGTAACATACTTTTCATTCTGGAGAACCAAATCACTCCGCACAGTACTTCCAAAAGAAGTGACGGTGCTTGAAACACATGTGATGCTAACGCCAACGACATCTGACAGAGGAAGAAGGAATAAGGTAAGGAATGCAAAGGGGACAAAGTAGGGCAGGGCAAGAGGCAACTACACAGAAGGCAACCTGTTAAATAAACTGATGCGCGTATGTGGGACTGAAGCGAGCTAAAAGGGGAAAATTCAAACGCATCCACCCAAAAATCAGGCGACGAACTGGTGACATCCTGAAACTGTGTATCCCGAGATAGGATGATATTCAACTTGTGGGACCAAGAATGATACGAAGGACCAGGCGGGTTGACGCGAAAATTACTAACCAAGTAGACACTTCCCAACTGCAAAATTGGAGCAAAATGTTGCGTGAGGTCCGAAGGAGCCATGCCCTAAATCAAAGTACCCTGTACAGAAAAGCAAGAAACATCAGGGACCTCAACAGGTGAATAAGCAGGAGGATTTTGTACTAAAAACCATCACAGGCGGCGCTTACCTCCTCATCACTCCCAAGAGTGCAGTAATTGAAGATTAAGTTGGGGTTCTTCAAGCCATAGGAGCCCCACGCATTAAGCAGGCGCAGTTTCAAAAGAGTATGAAGACCATCCGAGTCGTTTAGATCCAACAGAAGTTTATGGGCCACCATTGAAGAGCAAGAGCAGAAAAATGTTAGAAGAAGAATGGAAGATAAGAAGACAGCAAAGCAAAAGTTGTGAACAAAAAAAGGGTAAGAAGCGTCAGACCCGTCATCTCCAGGGCAGAGGCGAGACTGCACGAAAACCGATAAGCTGAAGAGAGAAGAGTCGTCGCTAGCGAAGGAACCCAGGTAAAAAACAGAGACGAAAGAGAGAACAGAGAAAGAAGAGGTCATAATTAAAAACAAGAACCTAGTAAACACTGTTAAGGCTATTAATTAGGAAGTGACTCTACCAAACAGTACACATGTAGTTTGTTCTTTTAAAGAGATAATAAACACATGAATTTGCAAAAAAAAAAAAAAAACGCATTCAACATTTTCTTCAATTTGAAGGATTAAGGGTTTAGAGATTTAGGGTTAGGGTTTATAATTTGGGAGTTTGAGTTTATGTTCAAAATTGAAGGTTTAGGGTTAAGGAAATGGACTGATTAGTCGTGTAAGTACTTCGGTGGACTCACAAAAATGAGTGCGTTCAATGCACCCAACTCAAAAACTAGTCTTAAGGTGTCGGATTTTGAATTTTAATTTGTAGAATTAGTGTAATATGATGATATAACATATGATAACAACTAATTAGCGGATTACCCTAAGCCCTAGACCTCCAATTTTGAGTTCTATCCCTAAACCCTAAACCCCAAACTGTAAACCCTAACCCTAAATCTTTAAACTCTAAATCCTTCAAATTAAAGTAAATTTATAATGGTTTTTGTGCAAATTCATGTGCGTTATTGTTCATCACATCATAAGTGATGATTGACATTATTTTGACATAAATCGCATGTTTAAAATGACGGTTATGAAGCGAGTGCACTAAATGCACAAAAAAAAGTGAGTGCACCGAAGACGCCACCATATATATATATATATATGGTAATGACTAGTGTACTGGAGGAGTCCAGGAGTATACCATACTCCATGTGATATGACCGTTAGATCTCTTTTTCTGAGCTCCGACCAATCTCAACGGTCAATTAATATTTTGTATTAAATTGAACTTCGAGTTTGAGTTAGAGAATTGGGGCCTGAGGTTTATCTATTACAGGTTAGGGTATAGTATCATATCCCAAACTCGATTTAATTCATGGTTTAGATAGAGATATCTCACTATGAGTACCTGGAGTATAGTATACTCCAGGTGTACGCCAGTCTGACTCACATATATATATGGTTCATAGATATTAAGAGGAATTTTACAATGCTATATAGCATTGGTGCTATAGGTTTTTGCCTTTATGGTACAACTTGAAATTGTACTTTTAACGTTATGGTACAACTTCATATTGTACCTATACTTTTTGTACAAATTCTTTTATGGCACAACTTAAACTTGTACCTTATGTGATGGTACAACTTCAAGTTGTAAAGTTGTACCATAACATAATGATACAAATTCTTTTATGGTACAACTTAAAACTTGTACCTTATGTTATGGTACAATTTCAAGTTGTACATTAAAGCACCAATGCTATATAGCATAGTAGAAGTGTTCATATATAAATCAATTGTCTGTATAAGGTGATAGCAGACTCAATAAGAAATAACGATATTAGATTGTTATTGAAAGTTTTTCCAACACCGTAATCGGTTGGTTTTTAAGAAGTTTGCAGAGGCAACATTAGTACGTAGCTTCTACGCTATTCTTTATTCACTTACTATCGGAGGAAACATTATGAATAACACAGTCCAAACAAATTATTATAGGCTTCGTTCTCAATAAAGACTTGAACCATAATAATTGATAAACCGTCAATAATTTTGGAGGTGAAATGATTAAAGGAATTGGACTTGGGTAATGAAGAATTCATGATGAACACATTTAGTTTGGACCAGGTTAGGAAGCAGTTGAATATGGTTGAGATTCAAGATATTGTTAGTATTGGTCATGTCTTGATGGGATAGGGCTGCAGTGGTGCATGCAAATGCAAATGCAATGCAGGACCCAGTATGCCAGAATTATTGAAATAATGCACACAGAGTGTCTTCCATTGATCAATGATTGTTTCCTAAACCTTCCTACTATATATCTCAAAGCTAAGTCAAGGGAAATCATCGCAATAGTGTAAGTATCTTAACTACTACAGGAGAGGCATTTTTGCATGTGATAGTCATTGACCTATTGATGATCACATGCGTGGATGCATCATTAATACTAAAATGATGGTACTGGAAAGTTTATTTCAGTTTAGTTAGAGGTTGTTCAAGCTTGGAGGCCATAACAAAATCTTGTTATTAATAATGGAATGCTACGCAAATGTCGCCTCGACAGAGTCATTATTTTGTTATATGCTCATATATGAATTATGAATTTATGATTGTGGATAGTCAAAAGAAGAATGGGAAATCGAGGATGATGTTCAGGCTGGACAGTGGAAAAAAAAGAAGGATTTTGACAATATTAATTGACATTGTATCTACTTCATTTTGCAAGGATTTTTGCCTTCTTCGATAGTTTATCAAATGGATGAACGGTTGAATTTTAACACAAAAAAATTCCGATATTGATTACTGGAGAAACAAAAAGATTTTTCTGGATAGAAAAAGAACTCCAACAAGAGATGCCGAGTTCATTTAAGAATTTCATGTGGATTGGTGAGGATGATAATCTTGGTGAAGCCCTCATAGCTTCAACAAATCCTTTATCCTTTCAAAGTCTCGCTACACGATGAATGTCGGTAAAGATAGAGTAGACATGCCAAGTCAAATATCTGCACATGAGCTTGCTTTGTAAGTCTTAAAAAGCTAATCCTTATAAACGACGAAAGTTCAGAAGCAGCATCTCAGAAGATAATAACAATTATTAATCTCAACAAGCAACTAAAATTTAGCTTGACAATAGCCAAGTCCAAATTCAGAAATATAAGGATTACTATGAATGAAAGATACAAAATTTTGCTTGAAAGAAGAAAATTTATCAAGTCTTGCATTTATCTTCTATAGTCCGATTCTTTTGAAAAAAATTCACTTTAAATATTTCAAGAAATTTTCTTTTATACACACTATTTCCTAGTAAATCTATGCGATTTCATTAATTAGAGAAAAGTATTAGATCGACCACTCCCAACCGATTCTTGTAGTCATTTCAAACTATATTGTAAGTTTGAACACTCGTCTACAGCCTTTCAATTGGGGTACACTTTTACTAAAACAAATCGCGTCGATAAGGAATAACACAAAAACAAACTTTGACCAAAATGGCCATTACGGGTAAAATATAATCTCTCCAGCACATAAACAAAAGGGCAAATGTGGACGGCTCCTTTGCCTTGAAGATGGAATGTGCTAATCGGCATTTTGTGCTTTATTACTCAAATCAGTAAATAGTTTAAATTCATGGTCCAAAATTTAGGTTGATTTTTTTGAACAATATCTTAAAGCAAAGCTAACTAGTTACTGATTTGACGAGATTCGTTCATTAGTTGCCTACCTGCTAATTACCTCTATGCCCCCTCAACATCATTAGCCAACAATATTATGTGCCAAGTTGGCTCCATAACAATGCAGTTAATATACTTTATTAACTGTAATTGTATAATGTTAAGTGGTAGGTGTTTCAGAATATGCCAACTACAGATATTTAATTAAGACGTTTGACCTTCAATTTTGGGAAGAAGCCAAACTGCAAATGGAAGCAGTGGCGGACCAATTGTATCTAGGGGTGTCTCATTACAAAAAATATAATAAAATTTTTAAAAATTCATAAATAAGATAATCCTTGTCTCGGTAGAGAGGGTTTCCTTTTCGTATAGCAGAAACTAACAAATTAATTGGTTTTAGGGATCGAGAGAAAATTAACATTTTTAATATACCTGAACCTAAAGACATATAAATATAGGTATGTTCCAAATCATACAAACATTCTGTTGCAGCCTAATGGTAAGTTAGTTTACAACAACAGTGTCCTAGGTTTGAATCCCAACAAACATTATGTATTTTAATTTTTTTGGAACTCGTACTATTACCGAGGGTTCGATATTTCTTTTCCTCAATTTTATGTGTGTCCCGGGACATCCCTACCTTACCTTTGGGTCCGCCCCTGAATGGAAGGGAAATCAGTGTGAAATGTGAGCCTGAAAATTACATTCATGTAGGTAGGAGTGGACAATGGGTGGGTTTCGGTGTCAACCGTCCCACTTACTTACTAACGAGATGATGTAATTTTGACCCGCAATTCACTTACACTCACACTCTTCTTTGGGTAGGGTTCGGTGGGTGGCGGATGAGTGCGGCTGGGTTGTGAGTTAACTCGCGAACGTAATTCTCCAACTAGTACTTAGACAAGTTGACTAACATTTGTAACAAATTTCTATGAAGGTGTCTAGTGCTTATATCAAATCTTTGATTACTTCATCAACCAATTGTATCGAATCTTTGACTAACATTAGGTGTTTTTTACTTTGTCAACTATAATGTATTCTGATATATGATGTGCCATTAGAATAGCTGACGATCGTTGATTCGTCCCGAATATCGCAATAAATTTCCACCTAAGGCCCAAGTATAAACCTTAGATGGGTGCAATATAGGACAAATATGTTTAAATATCAATCCGGGCTGATCCGTGTACCCTACTTCCATTATTTTGAAGCATTATCTAGTGAATTGGTTTTTGGTTGAAAACTATGGGATTTATATCAAAACAAAGTAAAGGTAAATGGTTTGAAAGCTTTAGATGAGAAGGATCACTCGGGTGTCGCTTCCCCCTAACTACTACCATGGCTCGTGGAATCGAATTAATCGTCATGGGCAAGGTGACCGCGAACCGTTAGGAAATGCAACTATGGTCGTAGACCACACTCTCGATTGCCAAACCAAGGGATACATTTTAGACTACTCAAGTAGCGCTCTTGGTTAAGGCAATAGAGGGTTGACTTACTCTCTCTCTCTAAACACAATGATTGGACGGCTTAATCGCGCTTAACCAAATTGTTTAATTCAAGATAGAGGCTTGCCCTACATTAACATAGATTGGTGGCTTAAAAGCCCAAGAAATCCCAACTCAATTGAGCCTCCTTTGAAGGGGGTTTTTCCCTCTAAACTAGGTTAGAATAGCCAATTGGATTGCTAAGCACAAACATGCACAATCATCATGAAGAATACCTCAATCATTAAATTAAACAACACCCATAAACAATCATTCAATTCACACAACAACTACATGGCAAATAGTTAGGGTTTCACAACACCCAAGTGAAAAAGAGTACTACTCCATGCTAGAAAGGGGAAGAACACAAGAGAAAGAGGTAGAAACCATCATGATGATGCCTCCAATCTCCTCTAAGCTTGTGTTGATATTCTCTTGGGGAGATTCTTCCCAATTCACCACGTGGAGCAAACCCTATCCTTCCTTCTTCCTTGGTTCATCCTTTCTCTCTCTAAAATCTGAAGAAGAAGACACTTTCTCACTCTTGGGCTCACCCTCTCTCTTCCTTTTAGCTCACATTTTATACCAAGATTGGGCTCAGTTCACGGCCGTGAACTCTTCAACGCGTCTGTGAACACAGAGCGCTGTGTCGAAACGCACCGCTTCACTTCCATGAGTTCAAGGTTTATACTCAATGTTCACGGTCTTGTTGATCGTGAACTCGTCTTGCGCCAATAACTGTAGATTTCTCCCTGGAAGCCTCGCGGTTCACGTTTTTGGGCTTCAGTTCACGGCCATAGGAGACTCTGAACTCCAATGGGAAACCGTGAACCTTGCCTGGATCACCCTTTTTGCCCAGACTTTGCTCTTTTCGTCCAACTTTCGACTCCGGGGCTGGTTTCACCTGTTGGATCATGAAACACACTAAAACGCACAAAACCTAGCGTAAAACCACCCTTTTAGGAATTCAAATGCTACAAACGCTCTAGGAAAACGGGGATAAAATGTGTGCAATTAGGCCCGAATCACTCCCCCACACTTAGACGTGTGCTTGTCCCAAGCAAACCATTTCACACAAGGTAATATCTCAACCTATCAAAATGCTTTGGGGACAATTCAAAGGGCACAAAGTGGCGAATCTCAAATGGCTATTGGCAATTAACACGATGACCGTTGCAAGCAATACCGACATCCACTACAAATGACATTCGAGGCTACTAGAAACGGGCAAATAAAAATTCCCACCTTGTTCATGAATCAATGCAAGTTTTGACAATATCACTTACCAACCACAACTAACCATGCATAGAGTTCAAGTCCAAGGAACAAACGGATGGGCAACAAAGGTCCTCACCGAGGTATGATATGACATGCAAAACAAGAATGAATCACTCACTCTCTTGACCAGTGGGGTCGGTACCTTTTTGGTGAAAAAAACGTGCACAATCATAAACTCTCAGCCCTGTCGTCTCAACACCACGGTGGCAACCTCTAAATGCTAGAGTTCACAGAATGGTTGTCATCACTAGCTTGTCCGGAGGTCTTAGACACGGGTTCAAATGACTTGCGATTGTCTTGGACATGGGGAAAAGGATTTTTGGGTGGTGGCAAACACATCATGAGGTCCTACATCTTCACCCTAAAACCGAAAGCTCTATGGTTTCCACTAAGAACCTTCTTTACAAACAACGGCCACTAGCATTGGCCAAAATCCTTGCTTCTCCCTTCCAAACTATCACCCATCATGAACTTCCCTTAAGCGCTCTTCCTCGGTCTACTCTTGCTATCACACTTTGATTTGGTAGTGAAGGTTTCTAAGACAATGTGGACGTTTCAATGGCTTTTGCGCCAAGAAACCTCACCTAGAGAATACTCTTTGATTACTTGTGACACTCTCTACTTTATTGACCCCTTTTTATTACATCTTTTTCGTTTCTCTTTCTTTTTTTTCTTTCTATTTTTTTTTCTTTCGTTTTGTTCCCTTTTTGAGGGGGGTACTAGAGAGTTAAACATTTGCCACATTGCTTTTAACGATCAATGCTCTCATTTTAAGAATTCACTCCAACACTACTCTTCCTTTCACTTCCTTTCTTAGCAAGAACCGTACACAATCCTCCCATGTAGAACCTCAATGGAGCTCAAAAGCGAGAGCTTTGGGACACAAGGATGACACATGTACAGACACGAAGAAAGGATGGGGGGGGGGGGGATCGTTCTTTTAACACCATTAAGCTCACAAGCAAAAAGATTCTAACATGAGAACGACTCCCAAAGTCACAAGGCTCAAAGGGGTTGACTAGTGGATAAATCATTTTGGGACAATCAACATTTGGGCATGGACTAATCCTATGCCTCCATCATACTCACTAGTGCCAGCTGTGATGTTACTCGCCATGGTAAGAGGGATATAAGCACATAAGAAGAAAACGATCGGCTCAAAGCTCACATGGCTACTTAGTCACCCAACCATCTATTCCAATGCACAAAGCAACATGCATGGAAATTGTAATAAAAAAGTAATCGAGTCAAAACATCCATTCATTTTTGCACACATGAGAACTAAATCTTTACACTATCCTAATGCACCTCTCAATCATCATCATAGGACGTACTCGATCACATGCAACAATTCAAGGTCAATGCAAATAACCACAAGATTCTCCTACAAACCGACCACTTTGATCATGCAAACATTGCTTGGAGCCCTCAAAATTTTCAAATTTGGGCATAAATCAAGGCTACAAGCATCAATCACACTCACACAAGCATTATAAAAGACTACCCCACACTTAAGCTCGACATTGCCCTCAATGGCATAAGATAGGGGTAGAACGACGTTACCGCTTTGCTTGGTAAGTGAAAGTTGGAATTGTTTCCGAGGTAGGAGATTTGGAGCTTCAAGGAAAAGAAAACACACACACACACACACACACACACACAAACACAATACGACTCGCTCAAGGCAAGGTTATTACACAACACAATACACCAGTAGTAGTTCAAACTTGCTAACCTTCGTTGGGTTGCCTCCCAACAAGCGCTACTTTAACGTCGTTAGCTAGACGGAGACTCCGGACCAAGCATCTTGTAGGAACACCACCTCCTTTTGAGGCATTACCTCTCCTCCAAGGTAACGTTTGAGGAAATGTCCATTCACTTTGAAAGTTCATTTATCTGGTTGGGAGATCTCAACCATCTCGTATGGGAACACTTGCGATACCACATACGGTCCCGACCATTTCGATCTTAACTTCCCGGGAACAATCACAACCGCGTGTTGTATAAGAGCACTTGGTCTCTTGTTGGAAATCCTTCCCTCCTTTCAGTCGAGCATCATGCAGGTGCTTCGTCTTTTCCTTGTAAATTTTGGTGTTCTCATAGGCTTGGAGACGCCACTCCTCAAGTTCAAGCACCTGCAACTTTCGTTCAATTTCACACAGAATAGGGTCCATATTCAATAGCTTTGTAGCTCAGAAAGCCTTGTACTCTAGCTCTACGGGCAAATGACAAGCCTTTCCATACACCAATTGGTAAGGCGAGACGCCTATTGGTGTTTTGTAGGCCGTGCGGTACGCCCATAGAGCATCACCGAGTTTTACAGACCAATCCTTGCGAGATTAATCCACGGTCTTTTCCATTGTCCTTTTCAGTTCCCTATTTGATAACTCAACTTGTCCACTAGTCGGAGGATGATAGGCCATTGACACCCGATGGGTAACACCATAGCGATCGAGGAGTCTGTCGAATTGCCCCTGAAAATGGGTTCCTCGGTCGCTAATGATGGCCCTTGGGGTCCCGAAACTTGAAAAAAGCTTTTTAAGGAATCCACATACTCGTCTTGCATCATTGGTGGGGAGGGCTTGATCCTCAACCCACCTCGAGACGTAGTCTACGACCACAAGGATGTATTTGTTACTAAAAGACGAGGGAAAAGGACCCATGAAGTCAATGCCCCAAACATAAAAAATCTCACAAGTAATGAAAATCGTTTGGGGCATCTCATTTCGGTTAGAAACAGTACATGCCCTTTGGCAGCTGTCACAATGGCTCACAAATTTGTAGGCATCTCGGAAAAGGTTTGGCCAATAGAACCCCAACTGGAGTACCTTCCTTGCAGTTTGGTTGCCTCCGTGATAGCCTCCAGCTGGTCCCGTGTGGTAGTGGTTTAGGATATCCATCAGTTCCTTCTCCGATATACACCTCCGAATGACCCCGTCGGCCCCAATCCGAAAGAGGTGGGGATCGTCCCAGAAGTTGCGAAAGGTGGTCAGCGGCAAGGTTCTCGGCTCCCTTTTTGTCCTTTATCTCCACATCGAACTCTTGAAGTAGTAGGATCCATCATATTAGTCTGGCTTGGCGTCCGCCTTGCGCATCAAGAAGCGGATGGCAGAGTGGTTGGTGTAGACAATAACCTTTGAGATCACCAGGTAAGATCTGAATTTATCGAAAGCGAAGATCACTACCAACAACTCTTTTTCGGTAGTTGTGTAGTTCTCTTGAGCATCATTCAGCGTCTTTCAAGTATAGCAAATAGGTTGAAAATGCCTACCCCGCCTTTGGCCATACACCGCTCCCACTGCATAGTCACTAGCGTCACACATGAGCTCGAAAGGAAGGCTCCAATCTGGTGAGACCATTATGGGGGCATCTGTAAGCTTCGCCTTGAGGATGTTAAAAGCCTCCAAACATTCCTTTGTGAAAAGGAAGGGGACGTCCTTCTCCAAAAGCTTGGTCAGGGGTAATGCAATCTTCGAGAAGTTCTCGATGAACCGACGGTAAAACCCAGCATGTCCAAGGAAGCTCCTGATGCCCTTGACTATGATTGGTGAAGGGAGCTTGCTTATTGTTGCAACCTTGGCTCGATCCACTTCAATTCCTCTTTTAGAGATTTTGTGACCCAACGGCCAACACAATGCCCTCTCGCACCATAAAATGCGACTTCTCCCATCTCAAAGCTAGATTGGTTTCTTTGCATCGCTCAAGGACCTTCTCCAGGTTGGCAAGACAGTGAAGAAATGAATCTCCGAAGACCTAGAAGTCGTCCATGAACACCTCCATTATCTCCCCCACGAGCTTATAAAAAATGGCTACCATGCATCTCTGGAATGTTTCCGGGGCATTGCACAATCCAAACGGGATGCGCCTGTAAGCGAATGTTCCGAAGGGGCATGTGAATGTTTTCTTAGCTTGATCTTCTGGGGCGATTGGGATCTGGAAGTATCCTGACATCCCGTCTAAGAAGCAGTAGTAATCATGTCCAGCAAGCCTTTCAGGGATTTGATCGATGAAGGGCAAAAGGAAGTGATCTTTCCGAGTGGCGTCGTTCAACCTTTGATAGTCGATGCATACCCTCCATCCAACCACTGTTCTTGTTGGTATAAGCTCTTCCTTCTCATTGGCCACCACCATCATTCCTCCTTTCTTAGGAACCAACTGAGTCGGGCTCACCCACTGACTATCCGAAATGGGGTAGATAATCCCAGCATCCAATAGCTTAATCACTTCCGCCTTCACCACTTCCTCCATATTAGGGTTCACACGCCTTTGCGGTTGTCGAACCGGTTTGGCATCCTCCTCCAAGTGGATTTTGTGCTAGCAAAAGGTCGGTATGATCCCTCGGATATCTGTGATCTTCCATACTATCGTCCTCTCGTGACGCTTCAGGACGCAAACAATTCAGCCTTATGCTCCTGTGTAAGATTTGATTTGATGATGACCGGGAGTTTCCCATCATCCCTCCGAAAAGCGTACTCAAGATGTGGACGCAGAGGCTTTAGCTCCAACTCGGGAGGTTCCTCCTATGAGGTAGGGATTTTTGGCATCGAGGGCAAGGCCTCCACTTCTTGATCTTGCAGAAGTTGGCTTTCCTCTTCCGGAGAGTTCGAGCTGTTCGTCCCTACCAAACAACACTCTTCAAAAGGTCAGAAGTATGGGCACCCGCGGATGCGAGTGCCTCCATGAAGTCAAAGACCTCTTCGCAATAATAAAAATCATCATGATGGTGAGATAACTTCATGCTATCATCAATAGAGAACATAACTTCTTCCTCCCCTGCCCTAAGCACCAACTTCCCCCCATGCACATCAATCAAGGCCTTGGCGATAGCTAAGAAAGTTCTACCCAAGATAAGAGGGACATTCACGTTTTCATCAATGTCTAAAATGATCAAATCGACCGGATAAATTCGAGGGCCCACCTTAATGAGCAAGTCCTCTACGACCCCCTTAGGTCGTACAATAGACCTATCCACCAACTGAATATTCATCCTAGTAGATCTAGGTTCACCTAGGTCTAACTTTTGAAACAACTTATAAAGCATCATATTTATTGTGGGATTACTGGCTCCTAGATCCGCCAAGGATTTCCCTATGCACATGTTGCCAATAAACAAGGGATAGTGAAACTCCTTGGATCTTTGCGCTTTGTGGGAAGGTGGTTCTGCAGGATGGCGGAGCACTCTTCATTCAAGCTCACCGTAGTTGTCCCTTCCAGCTTCTTCTTGTTGGAAAGGAGGTCCTTCAAGTATTTTGCGTACTTGGGCATCTGGGTGACGGCCTCCATGAAGGGGATGTTTAAGTACAACTGGTTCATCTACTACATAAAGTGGCCAAACTCTGCTGCCATACGATCATTTTGGAGTCGAGAAGGATAGGGAAGAGTTGGAGCTTCCTTTTCCTTTCTTTGCTCCGGTTGGGGGATTGAACACAAGAGAAAGAGCTAGAAACCATCATGGTGATGCCTCCAATCTCCTCTAAGCTTGTGTTGATCTTCTCTTGGTGAGATTCTTCCTAATTCACCACTTGGAGCAAACCCTAGCCTTCTTTCTTCCTTGGTTCATCCTTTCTCTCTCTAAAATCCGAAGAAGACACTTTCTAACTTTTGGGCTCCCCCTCTCTCTTCCTTTCAGCTCACATTTTATACCAGGATCGGGCTCAGTTCACGGGCTCAGTTCACAGCCGTGAACTCTTCAACACGTCCGTGAACACAGAGCGCTGTGTCAAAACGCACCGCTTCACTTGCATGAGTTCACGATTTGCACTCAATGTTCACTGTCTTGTTGACCATGAACTCGCCTTGCGCCAGTAACTGCAGATTTCTCCCTGGACGCCTCGCGGTTCACGTTTTTGGGCTTCAGTTCACGGCCATAGGAGACCGTGAACTCCAATGAGAAACCGTGAACCTTGCCTGAATTACCCTTTTTGCCCGGTCTTTGCCTCTTTTCGTCCAACTTTCGACTCCAGAGCTGGTATCACCTGTTGGATCCCGAAACACACTAAAACGCACAAAACCTAGCGTAAAACCACCCTTTTAGGAGTTCAAATGTTACAAACGCACAAGGGAAACGGGGATAAAATGTCTACAATTAGACCCGAATCAATCGTATTGCACAATAACAAACAAAATATATTGAACTTGATTGTCATCTTACTCGTGATAAGGTGGCTTCTAGTTTGATTAAACTTTTACATATCTCAACTGCTAACCAGCTTGCTGATCATTTTAGCAAGTCTTTGCAATTTTATAACATTGAAATTTAAACAAAAAATTCTTGACATTTATGATCCAGCTTTGAAGAGAGATGCTGAAGTATAGTGCAAACTAGGATTTAGTTTAAGGACTAACGTACCCATATGTAATTTAGTTTATTAGGGCACATATAAATGTATATTATGAATAATGTAAAATTTACTTTTTGTGTGATGAAACTGGTCGTATTCTTTTTCTCCTCAACAAGAGTCAACTTTAGCCTAAAATTTACGTTTGGATGGAGGAATAATAAGTAATCAAAACCCATGTAGATGGGAAAAGCCATGTGTGGTTTTGCATGAGAAATTCATATTCTCCTTCTTTGATTTGTAGGTGTAGTGATAGACAAGATACCAAATAGTGGAAATGTTTGCTTCATATTTGATATTCCCACCTTGTACCCATACCCACCAAGTTTTTGGCTCTTTTCGTTTGTGAGAGTAATCTTTTGCAACTTCTTTTCCCTAACCCCCATTTATTTTTCTTCTGCCTAACATTCTAATAACCCATCACTTCATTGACAAATTCTACGTATTTATTTAAACAAATATATGCAAACAACATCAATATTTTTTATGTTAATCTATGATCACAAAAGTAAGTGTGTACTATAGATGTGCCTTCATACATATATATTCTATCTGATCGGAGAAGAGATCGGTGAGTGCCAACCAACCCACAACCCATCATAAACCAAAGATTATGATTGATTTGGATTGGGGAAAGGATGTAGTAACAATATTGGATTTCTTACATTTGACTTCAACCATATGGGATCAACATGAAAGAGAGAAAAAGAAAGTGACTACTGATCCCAAATTAACAAATTGACATACACAAAAACATATATACAAAACAAGAAAATGAAAAGGACGATATTGGAAGTATCTAATTTGTTGGCTAACCAAAACCTCTCTTTCTTGTCACCTACTTACATTTTTTGGGGCAATCAAATTGCACAAGTCAAGATTTGAAGCTTATTCTTCTCAGTAATGGGAAAATGGGCCTAATGACATATCCCTTTTAATGAACGGTATATGATGCTTAGACAATTGAAGCCATCCGCCTGACATTCCCATGATTAAATTGGACCACCTAATGTTTAATCATATTCATGCATATATTGTCCTATATATGTAACCAGTAAATTATAGCCGGCTAAACTTACTATCGTCAATCTTGTAATCCTCATAACTATATACGGTGTGACTATGGTGTCTTGCAAGTCACTGTAACTTGCACAATTCGCTCGATCTATTTTAAACCGTGATCGACCGAATCCCCTAAGGAGGTCACTCTAATTTTATACAAATAACCACAACAGAGAAGTGGTCGACCTGAAATATTATTAGGTCAACCTTAAAGACGTAAATTGTCACTACCAGAACCAATTAGGTCGACCTTAAAGACGTAAGTTGTCACTACAAGAACCAATTAGGTCGACCTATCCAGCAAAATAATATCAATTTATACCAACAAAAACATGTGTAATACTACCACGAACAATTGATAGGTCGACCAGACACATTGATCAACCGACCTTTTAAGCACAACATAGTCTTACAAACAAAGCCAAAGTGAACATTCTGGATAAACAAGCAAAACAAACAGAAACGGTCGATCATGATAAGAATTAGATCGGCCTATTGGGTTTGATCTTCCTTACCTCACAAGTACATAAGTCCGAGGGTTGTGTCCTAAATTTAATTTCTCGCAATTGTCAAACAGAGCTCGAACTGATTGAAATAAGGGTCAACCGAATGGCTTCTGCACGCAACAAAACATCAAATTAAACGGTGCAAATTACGAATTAGACAAGATGACGACGATAGCTAGAATAGGCCGACCTCACCTTTTACGTGGTCGACCTCTTGAAACACGTACAACAACCACCGCAAAAGATCTTCTTCTTCACAAAAGCTCTAACCGTACAAAAAACCAAATTCAGAGTTTTGGTTGAGGTGCAGGTGACTTATAGATATTTAGGACGAGATTGGGTCGAATTAAGTGATAGACAAGTTAGGGTTACCTTTCTAGTGTTGGAATCCCTATACAATACAGATACGGTGTGCACACGGTCGACCTCGTACTTGTCAGGTCGACCGTTTATACTATTTTCCTAAATAATCCCGACTTTGATGTTTATCAGTTAATGAAACAGAGGTCGACCTTTTCACTTATGAGGCCGACCTCTTAATAGCAAAATGGTCGGCCTTTGAGATATTTGGGTCGGTCTTTTATGTTGTTCGTTCCCCAAAGAGGTCGACCATTTTGTTGTAAAAGGTCAACCACGTCGTTGAGCCTCACAAAACTGAAACAGCAGATTAGGTCGACCTAATCCTATCAGAGGTCGACCTAAAAGTGCTAGTTACGGTGACTTGCATGTTACCGTAGCAAAGTCCTAATATGTATTGTTTACATTCATTATATATTGTGAGTTGGTTCATTAAAATGATAATTTGTTACATGTGATCTTATATGATATTGGTTAATCGATTAACCAATTAACCAAATCAATTAGTCTTTAATTTGATTAGTTTCATGATTGATAGAATTTATTCTTAAATAATTTGGCAATAGTATCATGGTCTTGTCTTAGTCTTGTGTAACCAATTAACCAAACCAATTCATATTTGATTTGATTAGTTTCATGGTTAATAAAATTTACACTTACATACCGTTTGGTATAAATGAATTCCATAAGTTTTGAGGAATTCATTTTGAAATGAAATCTTTTTGTGTTTGGTATCTGAAAGAATTCATTTTCAATTCTAAATTTTGAATTCTACGGAATTGGAACTAGTTATAGCAATTCCGAGGAATTGAGATGGAATTTCCAAATGAATTCCACAAGTATTAGCTATTTTTAATAGAATGATATAATTATCCTATTTTATTAACTAAATTACTTATGCATATGACATACCAAACACAGGAATTCATTTGACAATGAATTCTACACCGCAATTTATTGTATTTTTAAAGATTTGAATATGACACACCAATCACAAGATTTCATTTGAGAATGAATTCTACGCGGTAATTCATTTTATAAGGAAATGAATTCTTGATTCATTTGGTACCAAACAGTCTATTAAATAATTTGGCTATAGTAGCATGGTCTGGTCTTAGCCCTATGTAACCAAGGATTTTTGGTGCACGAATGATGATTTTTTCAACTGAGTTCTCCATAATTTATTAATTCTTAATAAGCAATGATTGAAAAACCATATCGTACTAGCGATCCGATAAGAAAAACCTTTTACAAGAGGATAAATCAGCGGTATGAAAAAACTTCACCACCTCAAACCACAATTTTATCATAAAATATCCTGCCGCTAGCTTTTCCGGTAAAACCTCCAAGGATTCATGCACCGAACACATAATAAACAATGTATTTGGATAGTTGAAAAATGGAATCGTTTGTTTCCTTGAGAGGACCACTTTCTTAACACTTTTTTAGGCCATAACCTATCCATAAATCACTGAGAGCTGATCACCACAAACTTATTAGTTAGTGTTATTATTTTCTCAGTCGCTCTTTTCTTTTGGTGCTTTAGAGCTGCGGTTCTATAGAAGAGAATCAAATGGGAAAGAAAAGATGTAGTTGGTCAGCAATAGCAGCGGCCGCGATGGGGAAACCCTGTGCTTTGTAAATGCTACGCAATTTGCGAAAGTGGTCACATGGAATCCGGGCATCTCTCCCCCCACCTGTTTCTTTTTGCCGTTTTGGGAAATGCAAATGGAACTCAAGGACTAATTACCTCGAGAACACTTCAGAGTTCTCTCGTTCTCGTGAAGAACAAGGGAAACATATATTGGTTTAGCAAGACTCGGACTAAAATTAATGTGGCAGGCATTAATGGCGGTTTGGCTACAAAGATTGCATTTGATCATGCGATATTTATCAACACGGGTGGGGTCACGGGCAGATAGTATATATCAATTATCTTATCCAAAATAATTAGAGTTTTACCTATATTCATACCCATATCCATATAAAAATCGGATAGAAAATCAAAACAATATCCATAACTATTCAGCTTTTAGGTATCCACGGTTATCCATGGGTAGGGGTGGGCAATGGGCGGGTTGGGTGGATTTTGGTCTAAAATTGACCCACCTGTTTACTAGCGGGTTGGAATACACGTGACCCACCATCCACCCACATACTTATGCGGGTTGGGTTGGGTGAGTGGCGGATGAGTGCGGTTGGGTCGCGGGTTAACCCGCAAGCAATTCTCCAACTAGCCATTAAGAAAATTGACTAACATTTATAATAAATTCGAGTGGCGGATGAGTGCGGTTGGGTCGCGGCCCGCGGGTTAACCCGCAAAAGCAATTCTCCAACTAGCCATTAAGAAAATTGACTAACATTTATAATAAATTCATAGCAAATTAGTAAGATTGTATCAATAATTTGTGATTTTGATACAATTAATAATTTATAGTTTGTATCTCAATATTTAATGGATATTAACAATAATTTGCACACCAATATCCAATGGATATTGCACAATAACCAATAATAGTAGTCAAAACTATTATTTATTCTCCATATTTTGAAGTATATGGTCAGACTGTAGTGCAGTTCGAAAATATGATGAATATTTGATACTATAAGAAACAATATTTTTCCATGTAAAAATAAGACGTGGGTCATACGGATGACCCGCAATCCATCCACCATTCACCCACATAAGTGCGGGTGAGAGATTTAACAATCCCCAATCCATCCACACCAATCACCCACAGTGTGTGGGTCGAGTTATTTGTGGGTGGATCGATATCAATCCGCGAATTAACCACCCACGTGCCCACCCCTATCCATGGGTAATGATTTATCTTTACGACTCCAATCAACATGTTAACATTCACACATATAAGTGGAAAGTAGACATAAATAGCGGGTTGTTAATGCTTTTTAATCTTTGTCCGGTTCTTAGCTTATTGCAGTAACTAAAGACTCGACTCGACTCTCCTTAACGAGCATAATTCGCTAGCCGCAATAGGATCACGGAGATAGGCTTCATAGCTAGGGTTCACTGGTTGGCCATCCAACATCTGTATGGACCTCTGATATTTTCCCTGTTTGTTTGATCTTTCAGCTTGCAGCCTTCACTTTCCATGGCATTGTAGGTCCTCCCTAGTTTACATTTCTTGCAAGAACAATACTTTAAAGTGGGGTGGCTCCCGTGTGAGTGTAGTAATATGAATTAAAAATTAAAAGTTTGCTAACGTTGGTGTATTAGCTGGGGAAGTCTGGAAGGAGACAGAGGTTAGATCTTATATCTTGCGCAACACATGGCATGTCATCTCGTCCCCCCCGACGTTAGAGGAGCTTACAATGTCCCATTTGGCCGCCCGCCCGCCCGCCCGACGGGTCAGGTCATTATCGTGCTGTGGTGGTAGGACCAAACCAATCAAGGCCCATGCATTGCTGGTAAACCTAACCTTACTCACAAGTCACAACCGAACTCTCTAAAATGGATCATCCACTCTTTCCCTTATACTGCTTCTATTTTTCCTTTCCTTTCAGCACTTCACCTTTTTAGCTATTAAATCACGTCAAAGAAACAAATTATAAAAACAGATAATAATAATAATAATAATGAGGGGAAAACTGTATGATGAGAGTACCAGCGTCGTGTCAAAGCTCTAAGCTTATCTTCTGTACGTATTCCCCCAGTAGTGCTCAAGGGCATAGCTTTTTGGAATTTGGCTAACTTCGCCCTTTCACTCCTGATTATTCTCCGATAAGACGGAATTTCCATTCTCTAAGACGTATATTATCAATGGGAAAGGAACCAGAGAGATGGGAAGCCGAAAGGAAATGCAGAATCTCACCACGATTACCTCATGACTGTTGCCCAACCCACAGCCCACAGTTGATGCGCAGTGTAGGTGCAGTTCCACTTGACCTGGCTTGCTGGCTGGCCCATACTATATCCTCTTTCTTTCCTCCCAATTATGTCTTCATACTTTGATGCATCTCAGGCGCGATCCCAAAATCCTTCTACAAGTGGCTGAATTCTGTCAGCCTTTTTACCCTGAAAGAAAGAAAGAGAGAAAGAATCTCGTGGGGAGGGATTACGGGATGCCCTTTTGTCCTCTACAGGGTCCCCTCCGCCCATTTCCTCGGTCCCCATTTCACTCCGCATAGATTGACGGAGAGGCCTCCCAATCTCCTCCCACTTTCACTCTGCATAGTTTTCCTGAACGTTTCATCCATGTTAAAATAATGATGATGGTGATTAAACTAATGCATAGTAATTTGTAGCCGAGATCAAAGGCATGAATAGCACAGAGGAGTCCAGTCAAGTCAAGGTTGAAACATGCTAATCATCAAGAAATCAAGACGTGGGCCAATTGTTGGATAAAAGGTCGGTGAAATGGAAAAACAAATTGGTGCAAAAGATAATGAGTATTGTAATACTAAGAAGTTGTCACACAAGTAAGGAAGATGAATAAAGATGAGAAAGTCGGTTTGGGAGAGAGATGGCAGGTTAATATGGAGGGAAATCCTTTTTGGGACATTTATGGCTGGGGGGTTGAGTTTTTGCATCCACATACAACGTTAGCGTGTGTATTAAGGAGGAAGAGAAGGGAAGAGAGACTCACGGAGTAGAGCAAAGGGGCATAGATTCACAATCTGTCTGTTGGAAAGGACTTTGATTTCGTGGGGGGGCCAAACCCTCTAAAGACAAGAACCCATTGGTCCACGTGGCATCCATGACACTTCAGCACCTTCCTCCTCCTCCTCCTCCTCTAGTCTTCCCGTCCCGCCTTGTCTGGCTGGTCCAGTTCTGAATCCTGAAATGAAAACACCAACATAATTTCACTCAAATCTGTCCTTCCTAATCCCACCCCCTCTTTCTGTCTATATATGATTTCACGCCTCCACATGACATGAGTTAGATGATGGACCTTCCACCACCACCACCACCACTACCACCAACCAATTTAGGAAGAGAAGCACCATTTCTATTGCCAATTGCCATCTTCTTCCCTCTATATTCCTTCCTTTTTTTCTTTTTTTTTCTCCTTTTCTTCATATCCCACACAGGCTGGTAACTAACTCATTGAAGCAGGCTGCATTTACAGAGAAAAAAACAAAACCAACCTTGTGTCTGCCACTTGCACTGCTATCTCACTTTGATCCCTTTCTGCAATTGCCCGCCTTTTTTCTGCAGTCAATCGTTTACCCTTCTTGTTCAAACACGAGGAAAGGTGCTCCTTTTACCCCGTTCCTGCTTTCATTTTCACCCGTTAACAGAGACCGCTTGGTTCCACAAGCTTCCTGCAGAATCCTTTCAAACAAGTCAGGGTTCTGTGAGAGAAGAAAAGGAAGAGTGCACAAAGGAGAAAGGAAAAGCTGAGTACTTTTACCCTTTTCAATACCCACCACTCACAGGCTTCTTACTTGTACCCCTCTCTATATAAATACATATATGCATAACACACGGATATCCTAGGGACTCACCACCCAACATAGCATTGTAACAGCGCCCTTTCGCTTGGAATTCAAAGCACCCAACATGATGTTATTTTCTAGCGCCAGAAACTTCCTACAACGGTTCTGTACTGAAGATGTTCACTCACGACGCATCCCGAATCATGGCAGCTTCTTTTCCAATGATCTCTTGCCATCGCTTGGAGCCAGAATAAACCAGACAACTAAACTCAGAAGACATATCATTTCACCTTATGATCCTCGGTATAGGTGATTCTCCCACTTCCCATCACCATTCTCTTGAGCTGTTACTTACCTCTCTTTATGTGACTAATAGTCTCAATCATGTTGTACTTGTCGTCCTGTATTAACAGGGCTTGGCAGATGTGGCTCGTTGTTCTGGTCATCTACTCTGCCTGGATCTCTCCATTCCAGTTTGCATTTCTAACTTACAAGAAAGACACCCTTTTTGTTATCGACAACATTGTCAATGGTTTCTTTGCCATTGACTTGGTCCTCACCTTCTTCGTTGCCTATCTGGATAGCCAATCTTGCCTTCTCGTCGATGACCCTAAGAAAATAGCAATAAGGTGGGTAAGGCTTTTTGCAACATTTGACCCTACATTGTTTCATCTTTCTACTACCCCAAGCAGATCTTTCTAACCCAATCCGCAGGTACATATGTACCTGGTTTGTCTTCGACGTCTCTTCCACTGCACCATTTCAGCCTGTGAGCCTCCTATTTAGAGAACAAAGCAGTGAACTCGGATTCAAATTACTCAACATGCTACGTCTCTGGCGTCTCAGGAGAGTCAGCTCCCTGTTCGCAAGGTCAATCACTCTAACCTACAAACCCTATGTCTTGTGTTCTGTTTCTTTTATTTCACAAAAATTAAATAGCAAAAGTTAGTCAATGCCGGTGCTTAATTTCCTTTCAGACTTGAGAAAGACATCAGATTCAATTATTTCTGGACTCGATGTTTGAAGCTTGTTTCTGTAAGTCCTTATTACTAAAATCCAAAGTTTCAAATACATGCCCCTTCTGTAGATGACACCGACCATCCAATTTCTCATTGGTGCTTTTCAGGTAACCCTATTCGCGGTACATTGTGCTGGATGTTTCAACTATCTCATTGCAGACAGATACCCTGACCCCACAAGAACCTGGATCGGTGCAGTAAACCCTAATTTCAAAGAAGACTCTCTGTGGAACAGATATGTCACTTCAATGTATTGGTCTATCACTACGTTAACTACAACTGGTTATGGAGACTTGCATGCTGAGAATCCAAGAGAGATGCTTTTCGATATATTCTACATGTTATTCAACTTGGGACTAACGTCTTACCTAATTGGGAACATGACAAACCTCGTCGTGCATTGGACCAGCCGGACACGGAATTTCGTACGTACTCTTTCTTTTGCTCAGAGAGCACTCTGCTCTTCTGACTCAATTTCCACCCAATTAGAGAATGAAAACTTCGATAAAGTTCATGAAAGATTTCATAAGTAAATGCTAGAAGTCTGCCAATGTTATGATATATTAATTTCATGTGTACTTTCTCATAAGGTGTTTGAGCACAATTTTAAGCCTGAGTCGTTGAATCAGGGAACATGATTTCCTTCAAGGACAAGCTGCTTTGATGACATCAGTACTAAGAACAGAAACTTGCCTTTAATTTTTGCAGAGGGACATGGTCAGAGCTGCTTCAGAATTCGCCACTAGGAATCAGTTGCCACCCCGCATCCAGGACCAAATGCTGTCACACATATCTCTGAAATTCAAAACAGAAGGATTGAAGCAACAAGAGACCGTGAATGGCCTTCCAAAGGCCATTCGCTCAAGCATTGCACATTATCTCTTCTATCCCATTGTTGAAAACGTCTATCTGTTCCAAGGGGTTTCACATGACTTTCTTTTCCAGCTGGTATCATTTCTAATACTGTCTGCTTTTTCTATTAGTTCTACCAAAATGAAAACATATAATTAAGTGCAGAAACTTTCTTGTAAAGGTCTCAGAAATGGAGGCTGAGTATTTTCCACCAAGGGAAGATGTCATACTTCAGAATGAATCTCCAACAGACCTCTACGTACTGGTGTCGGGAACAGTGGTAAGTCCTAATTTCAAGTCATTCTAGTAGTCTAAACAAATAACTACCTAAAAATAGGATTTTCTAATGAGTCAATTCCACCGTGCAGAATTTTTTAACCTCAGTTGACGGACATGATCGAGTAAGTACGCAATTTCTTTTATAATAAATACCTACTGGAGAACTTGTCAAACCAAACCTTAATCAATCTTTCTCTCGTTACACTTTTTAGGTTGTTGGCAAAGCTACTGCAGTAGATATGTTTGGGGAGATGGGAGTTTTATGTAACAAGCCTCAACCTTTCACTGTCAAGACTACTGAGCTTTCTCAAATATTACGACTCAGCAGAACTTCTCTAATAAACACCCTACAGACAAACGTGGACGACGGGCATAAAATCATGCATAACCTTTTCATGGTGAGAGACACTAAATTGTAGCATGAATGGTACTATATAAAATTATCTATAGCCTTTCATTTCGGTAGAGACTAACTGAGCTGTTGCCTGTTGGTATCTTTTCAACATAAGTAGAAACTGCAAGGGCAAGAGAGCATACCCTCTGAAAGCAATGGAGGAATGAGCCCTAGATGCTGTCCAATGGAAGGAAGTCAAGGCTATTCACATGGGGATAAATCAGTTTCTCAAAGAGGGGAAGATTCACTGACAACAGATTTTAAAGAGAAGAATGAAGTAGGAGAAGGCCATAATTTTACGAGAGAGACTGCAGATTTAATGAATGGCCAAACAACTCTGCATGCTGCAGTATCCAAGGGGTATATAGAAATGACAAAGGTTCTGCTTGAAGGAGGGTCAAACACGAACAAACCAGATGATAGAGGGTGGACTCCCAAGACAATTGCGACAGAGCGAGGAGACAAAAGCATATATGACCTCTTAGTAAGCTACGAAAGTAAAACCCAAAGGACAGGTTTCATTGACCAGGAAACTGCATGGCTCAATTCAGCAAAGGGAATCACAAAAGTCACTTCAAGTGATTTTGACGACAGGGAAGCAAAAAGCTTGAGCACGAAGAGAGTAACCATCCATATGAAATACCAAGTTGAAAGAACATCAAGCCAATGGGGGAAATTGATTATCCTACCTGAGTCCATGGAAGAGCTGCTCAGGATTGCTGGTAAGATCTCTTTAGTCTCAGCAGAGTGTTTTAGCTTAAACCTGGATATTGTCTGCAAAAATAATGGACTAGTTAAATTTGATATGTATAAACAAACAAACAAACAAACAAACATGAAGACATATACAAGCGATTGAACCTTTAAGAAGTCTTAGTACTCGGTCAACTTGCATTTTCTTTGTTGCATCCTCATCCGATTTGTCATTGTAGCAACTTGTGGCACTGCAGGTGAGAAATTTGGAGGCAACACATTTGCAAAAGTCATCAATGCTGAAAATGCAGAAATTGATGATATATGTGTCATTCGAGATGGAGACCATCTATTTTTCCTTCAAAACGACATAGAAAGTATGTAAGCCAACAACGCCCACAACAATCAGAAGGCAGTGATCTAGAAGCTAGAAAGAGCTGTGTATATTCCGCAATCTGTATTAGAAATATAACGAGAATAGAGTACATAAATTGATGAAAATGAGCATCTGAATCTGGCCACTGATGCTTACTTTAAGAAGTCTACCATAATAGTAACACTTTCACTAGCTACTTTAACGAGAGAGAAAAGAAAGAAAAAGTTAAGGTCACAATCCTGTGGCTATATGAACAGAGTTGGAGACAATTTCTTCTTCTGTATCTGATTGAGCGTACACGAATGGAGGTGATTCAGATCGCAGAAAAGAATCACGGCATTGAGTTGGCCTAGGAACCTCACGAGCAGCGAAGCATGTGAATGATTCGCCATAAAGATCAAAAGGGTGAAGACTGGAAGTGCATTTTCTTCGACTCATCAGCCTTAATGGAAAATAATTATGAGCCTCTCTCACATGCCTTTAATTGGAAGAGGATGAGCTTCTGTGTTGAAGACGAACTTATCTAATGGGATAACGGAACTATCCCCAAAAAGCAAGTATAAGTACTTCAATGTTTCACCGAGAAAGAAGGTCTCCATCTTGTCCCTTCTTCGAGGGGGAAGGCCAGTTACATCGTCAAGAGAACTATATCCACCAGAATCAACCTTTGTGTACTTCTCAAAAGCTTCAAAAATATGCCAGCCCCACTCACGGTATCTACAATAGATGAGAATTGGTAAGAAACTGCAAGTATTATCTCAGGTTCAGAACTTCTATACAGGAGCAGAGAGAGCGAGAGGTAATATAATAATCAGACAAACAAGGTAACCTAGCAAATGAAATTGCATAAACATACTTTGGGTCTTCGGTAACACGGTATAAGACAAACAACGATTCCACTGTTTCTGGGCGCAAAAGATTATGTCGGTCTAGAGGTTTTATTATTATGTCATTGATATACTTCGAACTCTTGTTCCCTCCATCAAGACCGTCTTCTGAATATTCCTGCCCAATCCAGAAACATTTACCACATTAATTTTACAGAATGAAAACTTCATTTAGTAAAAGGAGTATAATGAAGCATCACATGCATTTGTTTCAGTTCAAGCAATAGTAGAAAATACTGAATATATTCAACAAGTCTGACAAACCTCAGTATGGAAGTAAACAATTTCAGGTGCAAGACCAGTGGAAGTTGCTGCATACATCTCAAAACAAGTCTTTGCTAGGTCCTCTGCAAGCTTCAAATTTTCAAGGTCTTCAAAGTTGAGCAAGTTTTCTTCCATTGCTTTCTTCTTGGTAAATCCCTTAGTGGCTCCAAGGGCAAGTGTACCAGGCAGAAAGCACACCTACAAAAATAACAAGTGCGTCATTTCCCTGTCATCACTCTAAACTCCGGACTTCATCAAAAGATGGCAAAGAAACAATTACATGTATCCATCCAACCTGACATGCACTGAACTGAACCCCCATCAAGAATTGGCATACTATGTTCACCAGCTCAATGCAATAAAGCAGACGTGTAAAGAGAAAGTACCCATTCAAAGAGAAAGTACCAATGTTCACCATACAAAGTTCAGCAGAAGACCTGCCAGGGACTTATTCAGCACTGAAGGCGTAGTCTAAGCAAGATTAAGCAAGGAATGCAAATAACCATCAACAGCAGACAGTAACACATGAGTAGCTTTCATTATCCAGTCCGTTTGAAAACCTTTAACAACTGTGCATTTTCCAGACGTTCGGGGACTATCTAGGTAGCATCTGGTGTAAACATTGCCTAATCTAAATGGTTGAAGCCAATCAAAAGAGGTAACAAGTTATAACTACTCTGGGGTTAGGGACAGATCTCTGTTACCTAGATGAAATGGAAAGAGTAGCATTGCTTTTCACGATTCCAGAGTTCCATCCGCAGTCGAGACTCACAGCAAAAACAATACTCATATTAACAGCCAATTGGACACGTTTATGGCTTTTGAAAGACAGCGAAGCAACAAGGCACAAGAAATAAGCAAGAAATGCAGTGGCATAGAACACAGTTAGATATAACATACCAGGTGATCCATTTTAGGACTAAAAGCACCATTAGGTCCATAAGGCAATTCACCTACAAACACCAAGCCATTTGGGATTGACTTCTTCACAAGTCGGTGCCTTACACCTTTCATTGCTTCCGTGTACATATCATGAAGATATGTAAAGTTATTATCTCGATTGCTCCTTTGCTGAAGCCATACCTTAATCAGGTACTCATAATAGCTGTCTCCACGAGATCCAAGTCTGATATTTTCTCCACTAAATTCACCAGAGTCCGGACTGCAATGGATGAGATATTATCTATTTAGATCAACTGGACTGATGACATCTGGAAAATCAAAACTCACATAGATCTTTTTTTTTTTTTTAATATGTAATAAGAGTGTCTTGGCAGGCTAAGTCTCCATGTCAAAGTATCCACTGGTGTACAGGAAAGGTTCACATCTTAAGCAAAGTCCCCTTCTTTCTTATTCATAACCAAAACCACCACAAAAACAAACTGTCCTCTGTTTTCCTGAGCCCAATACTTATGGCTGAACCGAAATATTCTTAATAGAGAGTCCAATTCAAAGGGTGATAGATTCTGCAGGAAGCTGCACAAAAACATAGAACTGCAACTTAATCGGGATGAAGTTCCAAAGCCAATAGCTTTTTTCCCTGGGGAAGCATGAATCCTATGGTTCACATAGAACACTGAGACCATTTCTAGATTGAAGACATCCTTACTGTTGATAACAGAATTCGCTAGCCCACTCTGCGGATGAATATGATTCGACTGACATGCACAGATTTTACGATTATTTGGAACAGAGAAGAAAGTATAAAAATCAGCTACAATTCTATTAACTAACTAGTCAGCTTTCACAAAAAGAGGCAATTGCGCATTAATCCAAAATGAAGTTCGAACACTTAATATTAAGATGGATTTGGAAAGTTAGGTTCTAATGCCAGTGACCTCATACATATGACAAAGAAGGAAGAATCAGACCTTATATAGATCGGAACAAGTCCCTCCACCTTCTGGAGATCTTTCATGTGCTCCAAAACTTTCATAGCAGCCATGCTGTATTTTGGATCACCAGAAAGAGTACTGAGATAATTGAACTCAAGCTGCAAAGTAGAAACCTCCGAAGTACTACTCAAACCATCAGGTGCTCGATGTGCAGAAGGATCATGGAGAACAACATCACTGAATGGAATGGGAGTGGGACTGGAAGTGAAAGCTAATAGCAGACGGTCAGCCAAGTCTTTAGCAGTATCAAGGTAAACAACTGGTTTAGGCCCCTTATACGTTACGTTTGTCCCCTTCTCCCCTCCACTTAAATGATATGCACTTAAAAGTCCACCCAAGACACGAATGGTAGTCTCAAATAAATTAACTTGGCCTTTCTTCTTAATCAAATCAGAGAGGTGTGTCTGAACCCATGAGCCTGCCTCTGAAACAATGTCATCAGCACCCATTATCATAGCAGTATCAAGCGCATCCACAACGGTAGCACCAAGGCCTCCTAATCCATCAGTTCCTCTCTGGCTGAGAGGCATAAGTTCGTCATAGCCCATAGCATACTTTTTATAGCCAAACCAAGCATGGATAAAAGCCTCTTTTACTTTCTGTTGTCTTTCTACCCATCCTAAATCGGTATCAATCTTTGCTGGTTCGTGAACAGCTTTATCATTGTGACTACCATGCTCATTGGGTGGTAATCGTGGAGGAAGCCTCGGTGGCTTCCTCCCGATCCTTCCAAACAAAGCATTACCTCCTGTCGCATTTGTACCTTCCCCATGAACACTCAATTTATCCGCTACTCTAACCGAAACAGAATGGGCAGTACTTGTATGGGTTAGCATAAGATATCCTACCCCAAAGATTAACAATAACGCTAGAAACTTCCCCGTACTGCAGCTTACACAATCCCGCCTCATGGTATTGGTGAGCAAGGACTGCGTTATGACCTAAATCAAAAAGGATAAGTCAATCATTCCACCAAAACAAAAACCACAATCAAGCATACAGAGGAAAATCAGAAAGCAAAATAATGAACTAAACATCCCCCATCACAATGTACTCTTTGATGCTAGCATATGAAGCCAAAAAGACAGTGAGCAAGAAAGAAATGTGAAGACAGCTTCTTCTAGTCCTCGTAATACAACTCAAATGTTGTACTGGAGCCAAGTTGTGACCGAAGTAAAGTCCAACTGAATTACTTGGTGAAGTAGGACGCATAAGAACTAGTAATTTCAGGCTCCATAGTTGTAGGCCTCTGGACACATAACAACGCAGTCATTGTTATTCGCATTCTCCCAGTCATTTCATTTTCGCTTTCAGGACCTATACTTCCGCTCCCCAATCACAAAGACCAACAAACAATCCAGGACATCGAACAAATTGCTCGCAATTGAATTATCTCGCGAATCAAAGACTTCTCCTCAATCCCATTCATTCGGATCATCATCATACGATACATTGTAGATTAAAAACGGGAAGGCAACCAGGCAATGCCATCTGTCAGCTTGAGCTAAAATCAATCGAAATCGAATAAACATCGATCAGCAGGAGAATTTTGCAGAGATCGAGATCCAGATATATGGGATGATGAGAACCTTAGAAACCGAACGCTGGCGGAACTTGGCGTTGTCGTATTGCAAATCTTTAACCGAATAGGGAAGCGATTTCGACATGCTCGGAACTACTAGGGCTTCCCGATTTCGTTTTTCCCCTCTCTGTCCTTCCTTCTCTGCGCCCGAGCTCTACTCTGCTGCTATCCTCCGCTTGGCGATAGCAGAGGCAGAAATGGCGGAGCCGAGTAATCACCTTTCCGAACGCCGAGCGGGGATCGTCCGACGGAGGGGGCGCTCGGAATGAAATTCTGAAAGCGAGGCAGTGAGGAAATTGAGACTGTAAGAAGAGAACGGGGAATGAAGGAGACTTCGGAGCTTGGCTTTGTGATGGTGGTGTTTTTAAGTCAAAACACAATACGGGACAGCGGAAAGGTAGAAATGGACTCTTCTCCTCTTTGCAGTACTTTCTCGGCAGGTTCTGCAATCCGATCCGAACGATGATGTAACGCGGTAAATTTCGGGAGTCGCCATCGTCGCTGTACTGCTTCTTTCACTGTGTGTGCTGACCTCGTCCGAAGAGGAGGATAGAAGCTTGATGGGCCGGGATTCTTCTGGCCCAAGTAAAAAACACGGGCCTTCAGATTCGCCCGAAATTCCCAATCGGGCCCAACCTTTTGCTTTGACTTACAAGTCTCTTCCATAAAAGGTAACGCGTGTACACCTCCGTCCCGTCCTCCCTCCCTCAAAAGCAACACTTCAACTCAGTTTCATCAATCCACTCTCGTCGATTCCCGAGTCGACGACGCATCTATTGCGGCTTTCTTCCTTTCCTTTCTTTCTACTCCCTCCTCTAGCCTTTTCCACCGCCAGAAACTGATAAATGCGCCATTACCGTGGCTGCCTCCGAGCTTGGGACAACCACCACAACAATCTCGTAGCCATGGCGACTCTCATCAACGTCAAGACGCTCATCAAGCTCTTCTTCACGGCCTTCCTCTTCTTCTCCCTCCTCCTCATCATCTCCGCCGTCGTCGCCCTCCCTCCCAGGTCCCCGCCGCCACGCCCGCAGCCGCCGCTCCGATTTCACCCCCCGCGCGATCAGTTGGCCGTCCACCGCCATACGACGACGCAGCGCAGCCGCAGCACCACTACCACTCCCGCCGCCGCAAAGCGAGATCACCAGGCGCGTGATCATACTCGCGATCCGGCGGCGGAGGCGCAGTACCAGGTGTTCCACATCAAGAACGCGACGCCCTTCTTCTTGGACGGCGAGTCGGGGACACGTGGAGGACGCCGCGGGATTGGGAGCGGTTACAACCACCGCCACCACCACCACAAGCGCAACCAACGGGCCAAGACGGGCAGCGGGAGGACGTCGTCGTCGGGCATGATGAAGAAGACGAGGATGAAGATGACGTCGACTTCCGGCAAGAATGACGACGTCAGCAGGAGGGGATCGGCGAGGCAGTTCTCCGTGATGCTGCCCAAGGGCTTCGTACCTCCCTCGGGGTCGTCTCCTTGCCACAATGCCAAACCCGACGAATCCACCAAGGGCGCCGCCACCGCCACTTCCTACTCCTGCCGTCTCTCCGCCGCTGAACCCTAGCGCCGTCGCCACATTAATTCTTCTCCAGGTCGGTCGGTCGGTCTGTCTCGGCCGAAACTAATTTTGGCGGCATGCATGTCTGATCACGGTGACCTAATCGTAATTTTGCTGCTCCAAAACCCTAAACCAAACAAATTGTTTTTTGTTTTTGCATTTCTTCCTGCCGATTTTCAGTACTTTTCCTTTCTTTTGGGGCGTGAGATCGATGGTGATATGATTGACGCCTGATATTCAGATCTCGGTTTATCGCCATGGATCTGACTGTAAAGGTGCAGGCAGGGTTGACCGTGTAATTAGGACGAACGTACGATTTTGTTTTCTACACTGCTACTGGCAACGACGAGTACTTCTATGTTCTGTGTGTAATACATGTGTACTACTGCTGCTGCACTGAGTTCCTTGTTATATTTTTGGAAAGGAAAGCTGATATAAGTCATGTTGTGCACATAAAGAAAGATACATATATATATATATATATATGTGTCAGTCAGTGGAGTACGGAGGGGAAGGAAGAAATGTATGTTGGGTTATTGAATGAGCTTGTTGTGGTTTCTTGTTCTAGGGGAATTATTGTCTCTGCAGAGTGGCGATTTGAGAATGAACTAGATAGGAAGGGACGTCGAAGAAGAAAACATTATAAATTGCGAAATCGGGGGGTGGGAAATAGAGGGGACACGTGATGGTTCCGGCAGGCAGGCAGCATTTGGTAAGGGAGTATTTGGTGGGACGGGGTAATGGTTATGGGACATTTCCGTAACGTGCACTCAAATGTTTGCGATCACATAAATAAATAGCGCTCTGATCTGCTACATATATGTAGAGCACTTGATGAGTCCTCGAATCAATAAGGTACAAAAATGCTACAAAAGCCAACTGCATGTCCTTCAAACTTCCAGCCTGCCTGCACAGGGACACCCTGGTTTTGGACGATGTTTCTCGGCACACAAGTTGGGTGGTGAAAAAATGGTACAGCATTCATGTCACGGATTTTTGTTTTCTCGTAATTTATCGATTCTTTATACAAATCAACTAAATAGTCTGTTTTTTTAACACAACTAATCAAATCAACCAATCTTTTCACTTAATCTTATTGATCAATCATGCCATCTCATAAAATCATTCATCATTACACAATTATAGTCTAGTCAAATATTTCAATCCCATAAAAGTAATTCTCGATTGATTTAGTTGAAAATATCTAGTTTATGCCAATTACTTTTTGCATAAGTGCCAAAAAGATTTTTTTTTATTTGGCTGGAAACATGTAAAAATTATTTAATTTTCTTTGGATCCCTGTGTCCATTGTACGTTGGAGAAACCCATAATCAATCAAAGGAGGCCCTAACCAAAAACAAAAAAAGTAGCTTAGAGGCTTTTAACTTGAATGGCAAGGCAAAATGGAAGCCCAGCCCACAAAAGAGCATTGCAGTTTTGTGGTAACTAGCACCAAAGCCTACGCTGCGCGGCGGGTCGTGAATTTAGTAACGGGATTTTTCAAAAAATAGCATCATTATTTTATTTTTTTTACAAAAATAGCACCCAACTCACAGAAATTCCAATAATAGCACCTTTATTTTATAACCGCACGTCCAAGGTGCGGTTTATATGTAAACCGCATCCCGAGAGAGCAGTTTAAGGTTGGGCCAAAACCGCATCTTAGCCGTGCGGTTTTGTGTCTGACCTAACAGAACCGCATGGCCTAGGTGCGGTTCTTTGGTTGACCTAGCAAAACCGCACGTTGAGGATGCGGTTTTATTTCTCCAACACAAACCCACCCTCAACTTGCGGTTTTGTCCTTGCCGACACACAAACTGCACCCTCCCCCATGCATTTTGTGTGTCCTCCTCATTTTCCCGACATCCACCATGTTGCCATGCAGGTTGACAGACGTGGGGTTGCATGGCAGATGAAAACCGCACCCCCCCCCCCCCCCATGCGGTTTTCATTGATGATTTTGCCTATTAAAGGCAGACCCGGGAAACCTCTTCTCTTCACACCTCTCCTTCTCCCTTTTCAATTTTCTGTTGTAGCTCCTTACTTCTTTATTGTTTTTGCTGTTAACGTTAACTCGTAAGTTTATTTTGTATTACTTTTTTTTGTGATTTGTGATTTTTATGATATTAACTGAACTACGGTTTATTTGCAGATGGCATTCCAAAAGTTCACGCTTGGGTTACGGTGGAATGGTTACACAAAAGAGACCGGAAAGGGGGTCATCTACGTCGGTGGCAATTTTCAGAAAATAAATGTCGCTACCAGACCGATGCTTGAAGACCTCTATCAAATGTGTACTAACGTTACTTGCATATGGATGGCACGAGAAGAGTTGATCGTATGGTGTACCGATATCCAAACAGAGAAGGTGGGTCGTTGTGGCATGAGGAATATCTCATAACATATTTTTAAAAGATAATTATTTTATTAAATATTGATTTCCCAATTCCAACCTACTTTCAATCCTTTGTGTGGTCCTCAGTCCAGTTTGTTGGTAGGCGTTGTAATTGGAGTTGCCCATTTGGTGGCACGAAAAGCCCTTTCATTGTTCTCTTCTTTAGTTGGGTTCGATTTGGTTGTTTTGCTGTTTTCGGCCATTTGAACTCTTTTGTATCTGGCTGTTTTTCTCGGTAATACGAGTGATCGTTTTGATAAAAAAATCTACTTAAGAATATCAACTAATAAAAATTTCTCAATATTTTGCCAAATTATCAATTTTAGACCCACCTCTGAAAAAATATTACCAACATTTTTTTTTTACTTTCCACCTGCTACTAAATACTTAAATTGTTCATCCAATCAACCCGTAAAATTCTATGGAAAAATATGTAGTCTACCTATCCTCGAGGGGAAGCATGCTGAATTCATGTTAAGCGAGTTTGTAAGGAGATGGGCAAACCATAAAGTTATTGTTAGAAGGCTAACTTATTTCTTTGAGTACCTTCGTCAGAAGTCTCAGAACGTATCCATCCGTTGTCAAATCTAACACTTAATGAAGTTTATTTTTATTTTTTATGGTAACACTTAATGAAGTTGGGTTCACTTGCTTCCGCAACTTCTAATTTATGCAAATACATTTTGGGTTATGTTTTCACTTCGTTTACTTTTCCCTAACATCGTGTAGATTCCATTTTGCAACTTGTTAGTACTGAAGGTGCAGCTTTGGCAAAACGTCCTGAACATTCTGCAAGCATCAAACTAGTATGTAACATTTTATAGCTTATGCAAATGGATTCATAGCAAGGTTTTGGGTAATTCTCCTTGAACCTTGGTTTTCCCTCCTTGTAATTCCTTCAAGTTTGTGCATAAATTGGTTCCAAGTGCCATTGACCTTTTTCTTTTATGCTAGTTTCTCTTTCCTTAGACATGTTGAACTTGAGGCATGGAGGAAGAAGAAAGGAGGGCGCCCCTGTAATTTAACACAATCAGTTAGCCACAATCTCATTGCATAGTGATAGCGAATTCAACACCAAAACTTCAGCTGCCAACATTCCTAAGCTATAAACTAATAACATTTTATCATGTATTTCAAAGAACTAATATAGAATGATCGTAAAAATAAAAAGTTAGCATAGAATACCAAGTTGCCAGCCTAATAAGTGTATAGTTGTGGCAATTTCCAATTTGCCACTGTACCTTCCACCGCATCCTACAAAAGGCCCTGAACCAAACTCATGGTCGCGAATACCCGACCTCATTCGACCTAGTCAATACGCAGAATCCCCGTTTTGATTGGGTATGAGGCAGGTATAGGTAATTTTCGCAAAAAACTGTTGATGGGTATGAGGAGGGTATGGTTTTAGACTCCCCCGCCCCATACCCAAATCCTCCCCACCAAAGATATCAACACATACTATAATACGCTGAAGCGAAAAACAGAACCCCCTGTTTACACCTAAAATATTTTTGGCCTAAATTCAATGCCGTAATAATGAGTCACGACATTTAATTCGATATCGCTGGCCAAAACGATGTCGTTTGGAGTCGAGCAATGCCACGGAGAATTTAAGCGAGACCGCGAAGAGGCTCGGCGGTACCGCGGTACTTGAAACGACATTGGTTGCAGACAATGTGTGAGTCATGCGCAAGACATGTGTTGCTGTTGGAAAAGGAATGTTTTTTATTATATTTTTCCTTGTCGGAGGAGGAGAGTAACATCACCGTTTGGAGTCAAGCAATGCTGCGAAGAGATAAAACGGTGCAGCGAACCTCAAAGCTCAACGACATCGCGAGACTGGGAAACAGTGTCGTTTGGCTAAAAACGGCACCGCGACAAGCTGCATCGCGAGACTGGGAAACTGTGTCGTTTGGCTAAAAAAGGCACCGCGACAAGCTGCATCGCGAGACTGGGAAACAGTGTCGTTTGGCTAAAAACGGCACCGCGACAAGCGGCATCGCGAATGAGTGAAAACGATACCGCGAAACAAAAAAACGGTACCGCAAGGAAGCTCAGCGGTACCGCGGCACTTGAAAAAACACTGTTTACCAGAAAATAAGATGTGGGCCGCGCGTTTAGTATTGGTGTTGGAAAAGGAGTTTTTTTAATTAATTATTATTTTTATTCCTTGTCGGAGAATGATTAAAAAAACAACACTGTTTAGTGACAAGCAATGTCGCGGGTAGAACCAAGCGGTGTTGTTTAGTTAAAAACGATACCGCGAGTAAGCCCAACGGTACTGTTGTGCTAGAGAAAACGACAGCGTTTAATATAAAACAATGTCACGGAGAAAAAGCAAACGGAGCTGTTTGAGGAAGAAAACGACACCGCAAGTAAGCCCGACAATGCTGTGGTACCTGAAATATTTAATTGATGCGGTGTCGCAGGGCTAAAAATGCCGCTAGTTAAACAACAACGCAGCGGAATTGATGTCGCAGTCGCAAATTCAGTGGCGTTGCGAGTTCGACAACGCCGAGAAATTCAATGATGCCGCAAGGCCAAAACAACATCGTGGAGCTCAACGACGTAGTGAGCTTGACGGTGTTGCAAGCTGAGCAATGCCGTGAATGGGTTCAACGACGTCGTTATGGAAACTTTGTTGGTGGAGGCGTACACGACGGCGCAGGCTCATGAAAATAACGGAGTTATTTTCTTGCACGGGAGATTCGGGAGTGAAGAGAAGATCAAAGCGGTTGAAGACTACGACTCTGTGGATAAGAGTGAAGATACGTGGGAGTTCACGACGGAGCGGTTGAGGGAGCAGTTCCACAGGGCGTGAAGACTACGCAAGTGATTTTAAATAAAAGCAGTGGAGCAAGGAGAGAGAAGGGAGAACCCAAAATCAACACAGAACAACTCTGTCAAAACTTTACCTTTTCTCTGTAACTCCTTCGCGGAGCTCTCCTTCCAGGAAGGATCTCCATAGTTGTAGTCTTAGTCGTAGTCGCAGAGCTCTCCACAAGAATCTCCATAAGAGTAGCGGTAGCGTAGATTCCTCAAAACTCAAACACCCTCGTTCGAACGTAGTTTGGAGAGGTGCGAACCGTAGTAACGGTCGTTCTTGGTTAGAAGTCAGAGGTCATCGATCAAATCAACACCGCCCGGCGGTGGATATTTGACGGTCACGTTGATTTCACCATTTAGAGGTGCATCGATCAAATCAACGGCGCCGACATTCGGCGGTGGATATTTGACGGTCGTCTCGATTTCAGCAATCAGCGGTGCATTCGATCAAACGGCACCGCAAGAGTTTCGACCGCGAAACATCAAATCAACATTGCCGGAAACAAATTCGGCACCGGCGGTGGCATTTGATTTTTCGGAGGAAACACCCCCATTTCAAAATCCCAGCCTCCAGAGTGTTTGTCGGAGGGGTAGTTTCGGAACGGCAGTTTTGAAGGTTGTCAATCTGAGCCTCCTCCTCTCTCCTTTGAAGGTTGTCAATCAAGAGCCCCATTGCTGATTTTTTCTCCCAGGCAATCTGAGTCTGCCTCTCTCCGTCCTCCGCCGTTGTCAATCCGAGCCTCCTCCTCTCTCCTTCCTCCGTCTTCACCAGCAACGGGCCTGCTGAATTTTCTCCCAGTCAATCTCAGCCTCCCTCTCTCCGTCCTCCGCCGGTGTCTATCCGAGCCTCCTCCTCTCTCCGTCCTCCGTCTTCACCGCCAACGGCCCTCTGAATTTTCCTCTCAGCCAATCCGAGCCTCCCTCTCTCCGTCCTCCGCCGTTGTCAATCCGAGTCTCCACCTCTCTCCAGCCCTCCGTCTTGACCGCCGAAATCGTTCAGTATCCAGGCATCCCTCTCGCGCTATTGAGGTGATCTTTCCTTCTTTTGTGTTGTTTATATTTTTAATTTCTTCATTTCAATCGATCCCAACGTGTTTGGTTTTCTAGCTTCTGTTTTGATTAGGTTCAAATTGTATTGAAAGAGTTTGTGTTTTTACGGCTGGGGAATAATATTGGGGCCAGAGAATAAAAGGCAGCAGGCGGAATTCTCTTTTGGGGGGACAGAATTTCATGGAGAATTAATAGAGAAAGGAGCTGGCGATCAATCGATCCCAACGTGTTTGGTTTTCTAGCTTTTGTTTTGATTAGGTTCAAATTGTATTGAAAGGGTTTGTGTTTTTATACATAATTGCTAGGTGATTACAGTTCAAGGAACGTTTGTGGAGGCTTGAGGTTTAATAAGAGAGGAACCACACCTTATGGAGGCCAAACTTTAAACTGTCGAACCTAACTTCCAACTGTCGGGCCTAACTTCCAATTGCCGATTGGGAAGACAGTAATCAAACTACAGTTGTACTGGTTTCAGGCCGTCCGTGCACGCAGGCCATTCGATGATTGTTCTGCAGGGGGCAGAATTATCCATTTTCCAGCCGTTCGTCAATCCTCTCGGTGTCTGCGGCTGTACGATTGGGTTTCGATGCCTCTCCCTTCAATCGCGGTTCCAACTACGTACTTGCATTTTCAAGAGGGTTTCGTCAAGTCGAGGGGTCAGGGAACTGGCATATGTGGCCTGATCAGAATTGGATTCGTTCATCAGCCTCAAATAGTGAATTCTGAGGTCCCTTTCAAAGCTGAAATTCCAAGTAAGTTATCTTTCCCTAGCTTTTTCAACTTTGGTTTAGCATTCAGGGGTGCTCATGATTAGTATGCGGGATTGAATTTAAGAATCATGGTGGCAGTCGGCTGTCATTTCCCAGATTTTCAATTGTGATTTAGCGTTCATAGGGTGCTTTTAATCAGACCACGGGATTGGAATTGAGAATCATGTTGATGGTCGACTGTGTAATTTAAATACAGTTTGGTTGAATAGTTGCCTTGGTCTGACTAGGTAAACAATTATCCTTGCTGCCACATTCCTTTGCTCAAATACCATTAGATTAACAGTGTAAAAAGATTAGTGTTTCATAGTGAGATGATAAGCCGCACTCTATAAAGAAATTAGGGGTTGGAGGAGTTTCGATTTAGAAGAGCCATCTTTGGAATACCTTAGTACATGAGTTTGGCTTGAGTTGATTGTTGTGATTGGGGAAGGGAATTGGAAGTCAAATTGGCCATGGGTTCTATTAATGTCTATTCATCTCTTTATTGGGTGGGTTTGAGTTTTTGTTGTGATTGTTATGATTCCGTCTTCACCGCCGAAATCGTTCAGTACCCAGCAGCGCTCACTCACAGCATGGTGCCGATTCATTGAACGAAAGTTTTGAAGGTAAGCAAACTAAATAAACCCTGAGTTTGCAGCTCGGTGGCTAATTTATGATCTTAATCTAGCAATAACTTGCAACTAAATAAACCCTTAAGTTAATTTCATCCCTATACTTTTGCCTCCTTTATTTTCCAGTTTGGATTCTGTGTTCCTATTGATAAAGACTCACAATTAGAAGCTTCCCTCTCACGAGGTATGTCATCTTCGAATTTATATTTGCTTCTCTTATCTCAGTGTTATTTTTCCCCTTTATTCAGAAATCTCGATTTTTCCTTTTATATATATTTCCTTATTGGTAGGAATATGTTTGCTGCCTGCTGGAGCGTTGAGTTTCGTTTCAGAATTCATAGATGTTGGGAGATATAGTATCAAGTGTGATTCCATTTTCCATGTCTGCGGCTGTGAACAACAATGATTTATTTATATGCTCTTCTAAGCGATGATGTAGATATTAAGCTTCATATCCTTTTGTAGGCTTTTGCTTTCATCACCTTTCAAGTGGCACTAGAGTTATCCTTAGATCCTTGTGATTACTTCAACCGAAAACTCTCTGCTCTATCTTTATTTCTGAGAGGTTTCATTTGGGTTGTGATACCATTGGTGCATGTACGCAGAGTGCTAGCTATCAATTTTTGTCTGTGTAGTTTTATGGACTTCTTTAGAGCTTCACGGTACTCTGTGTACCCAATCATAACCTCTACTTTCTGTAATATGGTTATTGTGTAACTGATATGCAAATTTGATCTTATAGATTTCCCCATCATGGTTTTGAAGAAGGGAGGTGCCTTGCCATACGGTATTTAAAGTGGATCCTTGCGTCGGGTTGAGGGATGACGACTTTAAATGATCTATGTGCGGACCGGATACGTATCTACCTCAGGCCTTGGAAGAACTTGTTGTGCAATAGAAGGTCAGTACAGCTTGCTGCAGTTTCCTTTTCCTATGGGTTGCCATCTAAAGGTTTGATGCTATTGAAGTTAGTATATATTTGCAGTGTACCGATAATTAACTGAAGGTATTAGGGAAAAGTAACGCTTGGTAGGTAATTACGTTTTCATTCCCAAATAGTCTTAGGAAGCTCGACAACATTTTGACACCTCCTCTGCAACTGTTTTCAGTGAAATTCCGCGATTCATGTTCTCAGCATATCTGGACAAGCAGGGTTGTGTAAGTCTGTAATTTTGTTGTGTTACTTTATTATGTCATGGAAATTTTGTTCAACTTTTGTTTGCGAGTTGCCCTATTATCACTTGAAATCAGCATCATGTACTCATGTATTGAGATAGCTTATCGGCTGATCACTCCAAGGAAAGTATTATTTGTTTGCTGAAAAGGAAATCATGTTTCTGTCGTGTAGGCCACCCTCCAGGTTCCGTCATGTCAAGTTCGAGGTACATTGTATGAATGGAGCAGGGCTACCAAGACAGTATGGCTTCACCATGTGCATAATGGTGATGCAGGTATTTTTGTTTGCCTAATTGACAATATTCTTAGCCATACACACCATTTCTGATCATTGAATGCTAAACTTTAGAAGACACCTCCTTTTAGGTATGTTAGTGTTGCTATGTATGGTTAGATGAATTAAGTAGGTTGTAGTGATGAATTGAGTTTCTCTTTATTTCACCTCAAGTGTTAATTTGATAAGGGAAGCTCTCTGTCTTTATTGTTTTTCAAGGTCTTTGTTTGTTAGTTGTTAGACTGTTATTCTGATTTTAAGAGAAGCCACTTCAGCATAATCGGAGCTATCGCCATCAGAAGCCTTTCATGGTATGTAGCAAAAACCCACCCCTCAGTCTCTCCCAAAACCAACCGGAGTGTGGCGAAACCCAGTTAAACTTTCAGAGTTCTCTACATTGATGCTGATGTGAGCTCTTTCTCCTTAATTACTTAGTCGCAGAGAAAACTAGAGGTTACTGGTTTGATTCTCCTCAAGTTTGGAGTTGTTGCTTGCCACTGAAGAATTTGTTTTGTAGCTATTGCATTTTTTACTATTCTCCTTTTTTGGTAGTTTCTATAGGGTGATGGTGAATGATACTAAAGTCTTTAATAAACATTTGTGATACGGAATGCTCACATTGATTGCCTGTTAAATTGTTGTACTCTTCCAATAAACCTTCTCATTCAAATCCCGTGGTTCCCTTTTGTTCGTCTTGCACTGCCGTGTGAATTGAATGGAAGAGCTCAGAATCCGGTAAATCAGGTAACCTTTAGGCTACCAAATTCCAGTCTTCTTTTGAATTTGGCTTGAAGGGATAAGTGCTTTAACTAAACAACCAAAATCAATTAGTCTTAGTAGGATATAAACTTACCATCTTTACGTTTTTTTAAGTTGGTCGAACATGAGAAATTGAGTTTGCTTACCTCAATTTATGTGTATATACTCATAGGATGAGATGCCTTACCCCAATTTTTTCCTCATTGATACAAAGTCACTTGAGTGATCACTCACTGTTATGCCGAATTGAAACTCCGAGATATACCAGATTAAGTTCAGTAAACAGACATCAAATCACTAATTTACCAGCAAAACTAATGAAAATCCTTTATATAAATTTTCCCTTTTGGTTTCATTTACAGCCCTCTAGTTTACTTTCATTCTCATTCACTTCCTTTATTGTTATCTCATACAGGTTGTTTCTCTATAGCATCATGAATTCTGTTATCCAAAGCTTGAGATGAGATACTTATCATCCTAATTCATAATGTAAATGATAATGTTTCCAAGGGTTTTGATCTCGGCTTCTCGGACATCAGGTGTGAGGGAGATGCTAAGGTGCTCATTAATAAAGTCAACAAGGAAGATACTACAGATAACCGGGCGGGGATGGTTCTTGAGGAGATAGTATATTATTTTCAGGCCCGTTCTGGTTTATCTATTCGATTTGTAGGTCGGTGTAACAATAGGGTAGCCCATAGGGTGGCTAGAAAGGCCTTTTCTTTGTACCCGACTATGAGTCGGCGCTTTGATTTTCGGACCTGGCTTAGTTCCAGGATGTAACTATCTTTTTCTTCTATCAATATATGATTATCTTTTGTAAAAATAAATGTTTCCAAGGGTTTTGTGTATACAACTTTTCCGGTGTTCAAGCTTTCAATTCTTCCCGTTGTGAATGTCGAAATGGTAACTCTTTCCGTGAATTTATGAATGAATTGTTCCATTCGAATTAATAACTTTGACGACAAGATGGAAGTTCTATAAAGAAAATTAATTGGCCAACGGGCAGAGCAAAAGCTAGCAACGATTGCGAGATGCTCATTTCCCAAAGACCGACGGGATAGGCGATTTTTGTTTCGGTTTTCTGGAATTCGGTTTCTACAAAACTTACTCCATCTCATCATATTATTAGAAATAATATTGTTTCACAAGGTAACAGGTACTCGAACTTGGTTCATAAGGCTGACTTTTAATTAGTTTCATCATTCATGTATTTTCCTGCTAAAATTCTCTATCTTTATCACGTGTTTCCCAAAAAAAAAACTATACAACAATAAGTTATACACTCCATTACATTCTCAAATTTCATACCTCACCTTCCGGCCAACTGGCCGGGGCTCCACGCTAGTTATGTTATATGCGTAAAATATAAGGAGTTTATTGTAACTTGTCAATGGAATGACGGATAATTAAAAGGAAAAAGAAAGTGTTAAAATGTAATTGATGGCAACCAAACCGTAATTTCATCCTCTTATGTATTAGTTCCATAATTTAGGGCGGGTAGTAATAGTATCCACATTTGTCACCATATTCTTTTATTAATGGTAAGTAGTTGATGGGACAGATATTACCCATGGACATTCGAAAACCATGGGTATGACGATAGATTTGTAAAACTTTCTACTGCATGCGTATGGGACGGGTATGAATTTAGGTATTTGAAAATGAGATGGTCTGTTTAGGCAAATTCACCCAATTTTCATCCCTATTTGTGAAAGACCCACTAGAAGGTCCCAAAAGCGACAGGAAGTAAAATGAGAAGCATATGCACTACTGCGCTGTCAGCTTTCTTTTTCCTGTGAAAATGCCAACTAGACTGATAGTAATCCCCCTTTCATTTTCTCCGTCCGAATCTCCCAGCAGCAACAAGAAAAGAACATACCACACAGACAAGACAAAATCCAAAACAACAGCAATTTAATCAAATAAAGAATAAAGAGAAGGAGCTGAGTGAGAGGACAAGAAAAGAAGAACATAGAAAGAATCAATCAAAGAATCGAATTTTATACATGGGAATCGCCACCCCACATCTCCAACAAGTAATTCTGGCACCTACTGCAACAACTGCTATTCACAACCAAATCATGCCAAAACCCACCTCCCACTCTCCTCCTTTTGGTCCCTTGTTCCGCCGCCGGCGACGACGATCTCTTCAAAACGTGCCTGTACTCCAGTGCAATCTGCTCGAACACTTCCACGTCGAACATGTTCATCTTCACCTTGGGGCTCATCCCGTCTCTAACGTAAGCAAACGGCAGCTGGTCCCTCGGGTTGAACGCCTCCAGCTCGTTGAACACAAGGCAAGAGAACAAGTCGCTCCTCGGCCCGTGCCTCCTCAGTATCACAGCACTATCTGGAACATCTGCAAACATAACGATCGAAGTTTGTGTAGCAAATGAGCAGTTAATTTAAGGAAGATAATTGGGGTAGGAATTGTTATGGTTAGGTGTATGCATCGATCGTCTGTCTGCTCTGCATGCAGTGATGTTTACAGTAAGGATGTGGCAAGTAGAATGAGTTATGGCCTTCATGGGTCCTAGAACTGTATATGGATGTAAACGTTTACTTGCATTGTTTGCATGGGGTCCAATCCAAACGTACTTCTGAAGGTTGGTCCAGCTTTGTTTGTTAACGAATATGGTTACACATAACATCAAACCAAAGAAATGAAGCTGATGCTATGCTTGCCGCAGTGAAAAAGGGTTGGATTTCCCCATTTCAACAGTGTACAGGCTCAAAATTCACCAGAAACGAAAATAGAAAGGTAGGGGAAAGAGAGAGTAGGGTTATTATCCCTACCCCGTTATTGCACATGATATATGTATGTCACGTAAAGTCATGACAGCTACTTTCCAACCATACTCTTATCATTCCACCGTTCTTTCTAGGTGTAGTACTAGCTAGGGATTGAAGAAGAGCAGTAGCGGATTAAGTATTCAACAAATTCATGAGATATGAATGGCGGTAGCGGATTAAGTATTCAACAAATTCATGAGATATGAATGATTCGATTTTTATGAATAATTTTATTATTTTAATCATTATGATTATTCAAGTGAGATGTTTTGAAATGATGGGATCACAGATCAACCGAGAAGTAAATACAATCGAGCCCAATTTCTTTACCATCCGAGTACATCTTGCTTGATTCTAGTTTTGACGATCTTACTTGGTTCTTAATTATCATAAGAGCCATTAATCTTAAGATAGACTCCAAGCTATTCAACTTCAAAGTACAGAAGTGAGAATCAAGATTAATTATTGCTAACATCCTAGCTATAGAGTACTCAATTGGCAACTCAACAACAAGTTTAGATGATTTAAACTCAATAAACTAGTACTATAATTTCAGAGCCACTCCAGCCGGGAATAGACAAGTCACAAGTGACAACCACTGTTGCACTGTAGCGTCCACTTCTAGAAACCATTTAAAAAATGTGTCAAACCAAGCTAAATCCATAATGTTAACCAAACCATTCTTTATCCTTCTTAATTATTTGTAATTATATGATCTTTCTATTCATTTTAAACTAAGCTTCGCACATTTCAATCATAGTTTATTTAAGGTTCAGTATACCAGAAGTTTAACACTGACAGTGATGGCACTGTGGCGATTAATCAATTTAACCAATTACCTGATCGATAAGGGAGCTTCTCGGGGGTCCATGGCTGCAGCCCATTCCCACAGTAAGTCTCCATTTGAAGCCTCAACCCTTCAACATCCCACCACTTTTTCCACCTTGCAGTGGCCATGGCTTCCTCCATCGTATGAACAAAGAAAGGATGCCTAGATATGGCCATGTCCACATCCTGAGCCACAACCAATGCATGAATCAACAGCAACGGATCGACCATCAGCTGCATCTTGGCGTCAACCCAGATGCTGAATTTCGAGTTCGGAAACAGCCTGTGGACCAAATACTTCGGTATCACCCCGTTCATCGCTGGATTGTTCTCGTACAAACCTTCATCGCTGTTCACCTTGACAATTCGCCAAACACCTACCCTGCTCTCTGGTGAGGCCCTGGATTTCACCACCCCGTGCTGCTCCAGCGCGGCCAGGGTCACCTCGTCCACAAACATAAAGAAACACACGGTGTCCATCGTTTTCGAGCCCAGGCTCTTCGGCTGCCGGATTTTGTCGTGGTCGTTGAACAACGCGGACACGACCACTAAGCCGTGGCAACTCTCCATTGCCTTCCGGTCTGGACTAAACAGGGGAGAGGAAGGATGAATAAAATCAAAATTTGGGATCAAACCCAATTGCCTTTGGGTGTCAATTCATCAAACAGGTGAGAGACTAACCAGAATCACTGACTGGGAAATCCTTGAAGAACCCACAAGGAACCTCAATGCCATTATCGGAGTGATTGAAATAAGAAACTCTGTTCTGGGTACTGAAATTTCCACCGAAACTTTGACCCTTGCCCTTGATATACCTCAGGGCCGGCAACGGCGGTGGCATAGTCGACAATTCTTGGATCTCCCGCAACACATTCCAGTAATCTAACCAGAAAACATCAAATTTCAGAATCGATTTGGGGAAAACCGCCCACTTATAGCAATGAGAGCATCGAACGTACCGGAGAAGTGAACAGGGTAAGAGCAGGAATTGCGATGAGTGGGAATGACGTATTTGTGCTCGCCATAGGAGGAAGGGTAAGTGAAGAGAGGGGACTGAATTGGGTCGAAAGGGGAAGATCGGAAGAGGCAGCGGGTGGCGGAGAGAGAATTGTAGAAGGCGAGGGAGAGAGAGGTTAGGAGGTATAGAAGAGAAAAACAGAGGAGCTTTGATTGGAAGAATGGAGGCGGAAGAGAAGAGGCGTGCGATTTTGGCTTCCCCATAAAATTTAAGTTTCGTATGGAAATCCCTTCCATTGGATTTCTTCGCCCTTGGCTTCGATTTTGTTATCGTCCTCGTCCCCCAACAGAACCAACCACAGAGTCCGTCCAAGTCGTGAATTCATGATGGTGATCACGGCCGTCCGGCCGTCCTGCCACAACGCTACGCAAAGTGGCGTCATTATTACTTTCCCCTTTCTATTTTCGTTTTATTGATTGAGAAAAATCAAACAACCAAATTTTTTACGCAAAAAAAAAAAAAAAAAATCAAACAACCAAATATGAACATGTGGTTTCACAAATTTGAATTTCATAAGTTTTGAATAATTTATTTTGAAATAAAAATAATTTGTGTTTGGTATTTAAAAAAATTCATTTTCAATTCTAAATTTTGAATTCTTCGGAACTGGAATTAGTTATAGTATTTTTTTTTTCGGGTAATTTAGTTATAGTAACTCCTAGAAATTAAGATGGAATTTTCAAATGAATTCCACAAGTATTTACTAATTATAATAAAATGACATAATTATCCTTATTTATTAACTAAATTACTTTTACATATATTATTTGGCGTCAACTCGGCAGTACGAGGATTGTCGACAAGAATTTGATTACAACGCCAGTAGCAGATGTTGGTTATTTGATATTTATGCTTCAATTGTATCAGTACGTTGAGAAGGCACAATTAGAGTGTAGGGTTCATCTACGAAATGTTTAAAAAGAATGGAATAAATATAATAGAAACACATAAGAACACTTTTGATATTCTACTTATGGGACCAAAATTATTTTTAGAAGATGGATTACAATGAATATTGTTTATGCAGAAAATTAATAAGGGTGTAGTTGAAAACTTTTAGTTTAATTCAATTCTAAACGTATGCCAAACATTGTTTCGGAATTGAATTAATTTTATTTATAAATATTTGAATATGACATACCAAACACTATAATTCACTTAACAATAAATTCTACATGATAATTCATTTTAAAATGAAATTAATTCTCGATTTATTTGGTATCAAACAGTCTGTTAAATTCATGGGTCTCGGGAATTTAAACATTTAAAAAAATGTGGGATTTTAGTTGAGGCATGACTACAAATTCATGATGGTTTAAAACTATTTTACCTCATAAAATTTATTTTAATATCATTTTTACCAATTTTTTGTCTTTTCTTTGTGAGAGAAATTTGATCGACGACCAATGAAATTATCATTGATCTTGGCAATATAGTGAGAGTAATAGTATTTGTCGACGACGACCTAGATATGAAATGATCTTTGGAATTTCTTGCACTTTTAAAGTCTTCTAAGTTGTGACTAATGATTTTATGAGCTTGCTATAAATTCTTTTAGTATGTTTATTTTGTTGATAGCGAGCAAAAAGTTATGTCTCTCTCTTCTCTCTCTCTCTCTCACAGAACTATTCTCTGAACCTTCCAACGGTTACTTTTCCGTACCCGTTGCTGGGACTCTTCCAGCTCAATCCGAGAGCATCCAGAAGATCACAAAAGCCTATGGTAAAGATCTTCCCCATATTAATGACTTACAAGTCGAGGGAAGAGACAGACGCGCATCAATAGTTAAGAGCCTAAAGGAGATTGGACAACATAGGGGATGCTCTTCAATAGCTATAAGGAAAGGAGGTATTTGGAAGCCACCAGATTGTGGGAGATCAGTTTTTCATTGTCAGATCAAGAAGAGGAGAAGGGAGGTACGACTGAACAGGAGAGTAGTGAGGGTGCAGTATGTAATCTATAGTACCTGTTTAGGGTAGAGTGGAGAGAACATTGACCAAAGAGCCGCTGTTGAGGATGAAGAAAAGCATGGAAATATTCAGTCAACAGAGATATTATGAAGGTGTTGAAAAGAAAGATTGCCACCAAGATTCGTGGGGAGTTAGTGCTATCTCACATAGAGGTAGAGCCTTTAAGAAGGAGGAGAGCAACAAAAGGGAAATTTCAGGCTTTAATCTTGCAGGGAGAACCCCCCCCCCCCCCCCCCCCCCCCCTTTTCTCCTCTTACAAACTCTGCCCACTCCTAAAAGACTACCAACTCGCAGCTTCCACGAAAAACAGAGCACGAGAAACAAGATGGACATCAATGATCTAACCGAGAGGGCTAACCGTTTGAGCACCGAACGCAACAGTCCATCATCAGCAAGCAGCAGGGGTTCCCGCCCCCAGCTGACTACCAACGCCAGCAGGAGAATTTCAATGTTACTGGGGAAGATGCTAACCGAGAACAAGGTAGAATTGGCAAAGGCTTCAGGGGCAGCCAGATATGCCTGGGGAAAATACGGGTAAGTTGGAGTCCAACCAACTCAAGCACAAAACCTATTCATCTTTACCATCAAGGATGCCAAGATCCGTGAGAAAACCCAAAAGAACAGCAGCAAATGATATAAAGAATAAAGAGAAGATGGAAAAGAATCAATCAATGAATGGAATTTATGCATGGGAATCACCACCCCACATCTCCAACAAGTAATTCTAGCACCTGCTGCAACAACTGCTATTCACAACCAAATCATGCCCAAACCCACCTCCCACTCTCCTCCTTTTGGTCCCTTGTTACGCCGCCGGCGACGACGATCTCTTGAGAACGTGCCTGTACTCTAGTCCAATATGCTCCAACACTTCCACATCGAACATGTTCATCTTCACCTTGGGGCTCATCCCATCTCTAACGTAAGAAAACGGCAGTTGGTCCCTCGGGTTGAATGCCTCCAGCTCATTGAACACAAGGCAAGATGGACATCAATGATCTAACTGAGAGGGCTGGCCGTTTGAGCATCGAACACAGCAGTCCATCATCAGCAGGAGGCAGGGGTTCCCGCCCCCAAGTGACTACCAACGCCGGCAGGGGAATTCCAATGTTACTGGGGAAGATGCTAACCGAGAACAAGGTAGCATTGGCGAAGGTTTCAGGGGCATCCAGATATGCCTGGGAAAAATACGGGGAAGTTGGAGTCCAACCAACTCAAGCACAAAACCTATTCATCTTACCTTCAAGGATGCCAAGATCCGTGAGAAAATCTTGATTGAAAGACCATGGAGTCTTTCCAACACTATGGCGGCTCTGACAAAGTACGAGGGTAGAGGAGATCCGGAGGCTGTTCCCATGAACAAGCTGGCGGTTTGGGTGCAGATTCATGATCTCCACCAAAGTCAGAGATGTGAGCAGAATATAATCTCAATAGGGACATTCTACTTCAGTAAATTCATTGATATGGACAGAGCCAGCCTCCATTTCAACGGATACAGAAGATTTATCAGGATGTTGGTTGAGGTTGAGGTTAGTGAACCAATCCCGACGGGATTCGATTTTCCGTTCACGGATGAAGCAACGGGTTGAGAGTATTGCAAAGAAATAACTTTCAAATATGAAAGACTTGTTGAGTTATGCAATTTTTGTGGGAGAATCGGCCACAACTGGCCGACATGTACAAGAATAAAAGAAGAAAGGAAGAAGGGAGGCCATGTTAAGCTATCAGATATCTACACATCTAAGCTGAAGGCGGGGATTGATTCTCCCTACAAGTCGAGTGGTAGCAGAAGCCGCATCGAAGAGGAAGAACCATGGTGTCCATCCACTAACCCTGAAGCTTGGAGGGACCACTACAGCTCGGGAGGCTTAACTTATGGAAGGGATGGGACGGTGGCGGCAGAGCTCACGTCGGCGAGAGGGGAAGAAGAAGGTCACCCCAAAATTCCACTGGGCTTCACTATGCGCCGACTGGAGGAGGAAGCAAGGGCTGAAGAAGGGAATTACCATGGGAGGATGAAGGGGGAATACAGAGTGGACATGGGGGCAAAAAATTTGTCGATGGATTTGGAGGAAGCGGCGGCTACTCTTTAGGGGAGATTGAGGCACGAGGGAGGGCATTCCCCATTCAAAGGTCCCAACGACCTCCTGACCTTTCGTGATCTGTGTAGTTTGTAGGGTCTCTCATATCCCAATCCATCCTCTTTCTAGCCCGACGTTGTTCACTAGAACATTGTTATTCTTGTTCCAAGCTCGTCCTCTACCTCAATTATCTAGACGCTTGTCTTATTCCTTTTAAAGGCTTGCTATCGGCCTAATTCCCCAAGTTCATGGACCGTCTTCTTTAATGACATAGTATCTATAAAGCGATTCCTTTGCCGACATTGATAAATGGCCCTTCTTCTTCCTAGCCTTGATCTATTGACTCCTTGCATTCTTATTAAACTTCCAATGCCCACTTGTTTCCTCCTTTGCTTCCTTTATGCGACCCTAGCACTGCTTAGAGTCTAAATTTTCCATTGCTTCTTGTCATTGCGTCGTAATCGTGTCATCCATTAAAACCATTTGTATGGCTTTCAGGGGTATCTTTTTGTTTGTTGACTAGTTGCCCACTTTCCATTGCTTAGGACCAAAGGCCCTGACATCCTCCTATTATTATAGCTACTGCATCTGGTGATCGTTCCTCTTTCTTTGGTAGTTGGTTAACTAATTCATAAATACCATCCATCATGTTGACGAGATACTTGATCTTAAGAGCCTTTGTAATCGTTCTTAGTTTGACCTCATTCACAGACTCCACCTATGTTGCCTCGTATCTTGAGATTCTACTTGAGTTGGCCACATTTCATGCTTCCTTCCTTTCATACTGATGATCGCCATCCTCCTCTATCTCTTATTTGACATCCCACGACATGTTAACAAAATCGCATCCTAACTTATTCTTAAACCAAGCGCACCCTCGTGCTACCATTTCGTCGTGTCATACTGTCATAGCTATTGACCTTATTATGATTAGAGTAGACTGGAGATTCTATAAAATCTTAAAAGAAGATCCTTGACTCTTTTTCCCTTCCTTTAAAACGGAAGCCTTTAAAAACTTAGACCGATGTTCCAGTATTCCTTGGAGACCAAGGAATAGAGGAGTGTCGGCTCTTATACGAAAATGTGACACCCTAACCCGGTCAGGTACTACTTTTACCAAAATACCCTTGTTAAATTGAAAATACTCAAGAACCGTAAACGCTAAAAGCAGCGGGGAAAATTTTC